CATTCACTTGTGTCTTTCTCCCAAGACCTGCGTGAGAACCAGAGATGGCCATGTGTGTGGACAGAACCGGCAAACACAGGGAAACCTCGAACTGTCCATACGTGTGTGGGATGTGTGAGGGGGGAGCCGAGAATCAGCACAATCGGATGTGCTGGCACCCCGTTCCTCCCGCCCAAGAAGTAAATGTGGGTGCCCCTTGATTGACTTTCATTCATCTGCTGTGTGGGCCACAACTTCTTGGGAGAACAAAGCAACAATGTCCACAAAGGAAACAAACTACTTTCATTTAAAACATGTAACAAAGCAAATGTTGCAACAGGCTGTTTACCACCAAGCACTTTTTGTTACTTTGAGAAACATTTTACGAACACGCGGCAGTGTTTCAGATCAAAGCAGACATACAGTTTCCTGAAAGCTTTTGCTTTTATTTTTTTCTCGGTAGAACTTTTCCCCATTAAAATCATTAAGTTTTGTCTGGAATTATTACCTCCTTGAGCCAAAAGCACACTTTTGTGTGGTTGTGGTGTTTTTTGTCCCAGGAAGAAAAAAAACCCACATTATGCTATTCAATTTTTGGCTACAAAGATGTACTGTAATATGAAGTAATAAAAAAGAAAAAACAATATAAAGTAAGAGTTAGACAGATTAAATTACCTAATAGAAACCTGAGACAGGGAGGCCGGTCGGCTTTATTGAGAAAGCTTTTACGAACATGCAATCAATAATAAAGTTTATACATCCTGTTTTATGATTTGATTAAAAAATTCTTCCATTTATTAAATAAGTCCACATCATTCTGAGAAGTAATGAAACAGCTGTGGTGGATCTCAGGTCATTTTTCTCCGGAGAACAGTCAGCATTGGGCACGGCCTGCGTTTCCACATTTTTTCTCGAATCCCTACTCTAAGTCCGGAACAAGCCCGGTTCATCTCGGGACGACTCCGTGGCCACCGACGTTCCCAACAGAAGTGGGAAAGGCAGGTTCTGGACGTCGGAACCTTACGTCATCCAAAGGTGTCCTTTGCGGGACGCAATCGCATGGCTGTGATTTAGGACAACTTCTAGATCCAAGCTGTAGGAGAATAACTGAGAGCTTTAATAACAGGGATTTGATATCTGAGCTGGGGGCCTCTGGGCCAAGCTGTCCAAACTGGGCCCTAATTCCCGCACTGACAGTGCTTCACTTGCATTTTTTAATGTGGCTGAAGACACCTTCAGTGTCCCTTTGGGGGGAGGGGTAGCATCAGGAAGCCACTCAGGTGGACACGAAGTATCACATGGCCCTAGACATCCTGTGCCGCCTGCCTCCCCGCACCGAACTCAGCCGGGTGCCTGCCCCGCCGGGTTCAGTGGCTGTTGGATGCTCAGCTGGCGGGAGATTTGGCCACGTAACGGGGAGCATCCCCCCACCCCCGTGTCACGGGACCAGATTCAGATCCCAGCTCTGCTGCCGGCACCGGAGCCCAGCTGCGGCATCGAAAGGTTGACAGGCATCGTCCTTGCAACTGTCCAATGTCCACCAGGCACAGAACACCTGCTGCCATCGGCGACCTGGACTGTTCACCCCTTCTCCTGAGCACAGAGAGAAGAGGGTGGGCAGTCAAGTGGCCACTAAGTCCCCTTGAAAACCCCTTCCTGCCAGCCCCAGCCACACACATCCCCTCACATGGCCAGTCAGACACACACACACACACACACACACACACACCTCTGTCTACAAGTACTTTACTCCTAAGTCAGGGTGCAGACAGCCCGGAGAGGTGAGCAGTGAGACTGTGGGGGGACATTTTCCCAATGAGGCCATCGGAATGTTGGGCACCTGACGGCCCCCCTCCCTCCCCACCAGGAGGGCAGTGCTCAGTTCTGGCAGCCCCGCCTCTCAGCAGAATGGTCCAGGACTCGGACTTCTCCGTGGAATCGGAACACCTTTCATCCCCATGGGTGCGGAGGTGGTGACACAATACCACGTGCTCACTTACACACGAACACCCTTTCCCAACTATCCCGAGTCAATGTGGGTAAAACGCACAGCAAGGGGTGGGGGTGGACCCTTGGCTTCAGCACAGATTTGGTGGGTGCTGGTCACCCCTGCTGTTCTGAGACCGGGCGGGGTTCATTTATTCCTTGATGACGACGACTCATGCTTCCCTGAACTGCCAACCTCTGTGATGGCCGGGGTGGGGGGTGGGGGGGACTGATTCAAGGTCGAAGGGAGGAGGAGTGAAGGCCCCTACTCTCAGCAGTTCTATGAATTCCCATTTTGCAGGAAAAAAGAGCGTGCTCCCAACAGCCTGTGTGCACGAGGGACACAGGTACCATGTTCCTGCTTGAACAGTTTTCCGGGCTCTGAGGTCACAGCTCCTTCGTGTCTGAGGTTCCGGTGGGACCTCAGGGGTGCTGCAAGGGGGCCACCGTGAGAACCGTGGCGCAGATGTGGCGATCTCTACGGAATGGTTGGCCTTCACCAGCCGCTCTGAGTTGTTAACCTGGCCGACGGGCCTGGGTCAGGACGCCCTGCAGAGCCAAAGGCCCAGCTACGGGGACACGTCACTATGAACATTGTGTCGGGTGGCCCAGAACGGATCCAATATTGGAGGCTCCCCCCATGGGAGCTGGCACACCAGCAAAAGTGTGGGGCCCAGCCCCCTCAAGGCACAGCAGGAAGACACGACTAGCCCTTTGCAATGAAGAGGAAAAATCTGATCTTCTTCCAACTAGAAAAAGCATCACCTTTGCAGAAAGCCAGTCTGGCTGAGATTCCCCGCTGACTCTCAAACCCTGAAATCAGAGGCTCCCTACGCTGAGCACAGGGAGTCTGACAGATGAAACTGTGGACAGTCGGAATCTGCCAGCATCTCCACCCAAAGAGCCAAACCGCCCAGTTCCTCCTTCCGCCAGCTGCCGGCCCAGAATAGAGCATCTCGAGAGAGATTACGTGGCGGCCAGAGGTGTGTCCGACAAATGCCGGGGGCGCGCTCTGTGGGGAGTATTTAGGGTGTTGAAATCTGGTCCGTTGGTGCTGTGACCACAAATAACTCTCCTGCTCAGATCCCAGGCCTCCAGGAGGCGGGGCCTTGGCAGCTCCGGCAGAGCTCGGAGTCACCTTGTGCCGTGAGGGCCTGACCGAGCTCATCCTGAGGACCACGTCAAAGATCTGTAAAAATATAAAACCAAACCCCCAAACCACTCTCCTCTCCATCACTCCCCATGGGGTAATTCATCTCTGTCTGCTCCACAACCTTTCTAAAAACTTAAATATAACCTGGCCAGTATGGATCAGTGGTTGAGCGTCACCCCTGCACCAAGAAGTCGCCGGTTCGATTCCCGGCCAGGGCACATGCCCAGGTTGTGGGCCCAACCCCCAGTGGGGGGGCGTGCAGGAGGTGGCCAGTCGATGTTCTCTCATTGATGCTTATATCTCTCTCTCTCCTTCTCCCTTCCTCTCTCTCTAAATTCAATAAATAAAAAAAATTTTAATAAAAATAAATTTATTGCAGTAACTGGTTAGTGACATTATAGAAATGTCAGGCGAGCATCCCTATAATTTGATGTCTGTGTGCTCACCCCACAAATTTAGTTTCCATATACTTGACCCTCTTTACCTAGTTTGCCCCTTTTGTGCCCCCACCCCATGCTTTGCTTGGGTCTGCGAGTCTGTTTTCATTGATACTTCTGGCTTTTTACTTTCTTGTTTTATGCTGTCCGGTCATTGCAGCGTCATTTGCAAGAAGCAGGACGTAGAAACCATGTTTTCTCCGGGAGTTAAAGCTGCAGCCCAGGAGTCCTGTTGGCCTGGGGCACCCGTGGTGGCCAGTCCTTGAGCTGCAAGGTGGAAGTGAGTTCTTCTTGGTGCCATGACTGCGTTTGCAGGCCCATCGTCCGCTGAACGGGCATCAGACTGCAGCTGCAGCTGGGGCGTGCTCTAGTTCCGGCACCATAACCACCCAGCAGACACGCCTGCACCCCACCGGGTGAAGGGACTGTCCTGTGCATTCAGAACATAGGACACGGTCGTCCTCAAATGCTTGTGGGCCCAGCCGGCTGAATGCATGAGACAAACGTCTCTGCTCAAAAAAGGATTTCAACTTTCCGTGAAAAAGCCTAAATCTAGTAACAGATGAACATGTTTCCCAGGAGTCTGGTGAGGCCCTGGGGACACCCCATGGGCACACGGCCTCTCCAGACCAGTGAGCCCTGGCCCCTCCCAGCAGCCTCCTGTGAACTGAGGTCCCCCCTGCTAAAGGTAGTGACGTGGCCTGGCTGGCACCTTAACCCTGCGATTGCAGGGGTCAGGAGAGACGGGAAGCCTGTCCCAGGCATGGGTTCTGAGGAAAGCAAACCGCTCGCCACTTAAGGACTCACCCACATGGAGCTCTCAGCATCACAGGCGGCTCTGCCACACTGGGCCATCGACGTGTGACCCACACACAGCTGGGGACCCTCGGCCTCCGGGCCCAGGCCCCTCACGCAAGGCCAGGGAAATCTCTGACAGGCCCACGCCCAATGGGAGGCACAGTCCTGCCTACCCCCCCACCCCGGAGCTGCTGGGAAGGGTCAGGGCAGGAAGGCAGCCTTGAAATTCACACACGACACTGCAAAGCCACCTTCTTAATTTGTGGGACCATAAAAATGGCCAAAATAGCCCGGCCGCTGTGGCTCAGGGGTTGAGCATCGACCCTGCACGAAGAGGTCACCAGTTCGATTCCCGGTCAGGGCACATGCCCAGGTTGTGGGCCTGATCCCCAGTGGGGGGACACGCAGGAGGCGGCCCTTCAACGCTCTCTCTCATCGATGTTTCTCTCTCTCCCTCTTTCTTCCTCTCTCTCTGAAATCAGTAAAAAAAAAAAAAGTTTTTTTAATAGTAAAAATAAATGGAAATACAATGTAGCACACTATTGTATTATAATATATGCACATCCATGGGAAATACATTATATTTATTATATTGTGCTAAATGTACAGTATATACATATGTGCACTATATAGAGAGTACGCAAGAATATACACTGGCAGACCATACTGTTACATTAAGCAAATAATGTTATAGTTACTTGATAGGTATACACATGTAATACGCAATTTTGTTACATAAGATATATGCATATACAATGTATGGATGTGGTAATATGGTATATAATCACGATTCCACTTATCGATCATTCATCTGTGTCATCTACCATCCACGTATCATCTATCATCTGTGATCTATAATCTGTCCATGTATCTACCTATTATGTATTTATGCTCTGTCCATGGACCTATGTATTATTTGTCATCTTGATTATCAATCAAGCCTTCCTCCCTCTATGTATCACGTATCTGCCTGTCTACCATCCATCGATCTATTGGTTAATCTGTCTGTCTGTCAACCTGTCTGTCTAGCACCTGTATCTCTTTCATCCCCGTGTCTGGAAGGAAACCCATCCTCGGTGTCTGAGTCACTTCTCAAGGACTTGGGTGGCACCCACCCCAGTGGCTTTGCAGACCCAACTTAAATTGATTGGGCATCGTGATCAGGTTTGGGTTTAAAGTGGGTCAGAAAGGAACCTGATGTTAACAACATCCTCTTCCCGTGACCCAGTGCTGGTTCTGCCACACTCCCCGTCCTCAGAAAAATAGCGACTCACAGAAACGCTCAGCACCTGTGGAGGGACAAGTGTGTGTCCGAAGCGTGTGCATCACTGAAGGGGTTAGGAGTTTGCGTGTACGTGAACGCGTACACAGGCCACCGACGCCTGGAGCGGAGGCATCCTGTCACCAGAGGAGAATGTGCACAGAAGGGCCGCTCACTGGCTCGCAGCACCCAAGCCCGTCTGGTCCCACACGGGAGCCTCTGCCTGGTGCAGTGTGGACGATGCCACACACCTCGTCTGCAGGACCCAGAAGAGGTCTGTGTTCTGCCAACAAGACAGCATGTCTCTGCCCCAGGAGTGCCTGGCGGGGCTCCACGCTGGGGACTCAGGCTTAACGACATCCTTGGGATTCTGGAGCCAGACGGCAAGGCGCCCTTCATGCCTTGCGTGGCCGTCACTTCCTGAGACCTGCTGCTGCAGCTCGGGGGCACCCACTGGAGCCTTGGAAATTTCCCGGGGGCGGCTGTCACAGCCAGACCTCCATCCAGCTGCCCCTGCACGGCGACCCGTCCACCAGCTCCCCCAGAGACGCAGCACACAGGATCGGGTGTCCTCGAGCCTTGGGGACTGTGGTGACGAGAGCACCAGTGTCCAGGGCAGCCTTGTCTGACCACCTTGTCAGCAGACACTTCACTGTGCAGTTGAAGAGCGTCACCCTGGAGTTCTGCTCACACACAGCAGCCGGGAGGACACATCCCCACGTTCCCACTGCCACTGCCCCAAATCCCGTGACAAAGGAGCCTACAGCGGGGGCTTGGACAACAGAAATTCACCCTCCCCGTCCTGGAGACCAGACGTCGGAGACGGGGTGTCCAGGACCGCGCTCCCTCCGAGGCTTCAGAGAGGGCCCTTCCGGCCTCTTCCGGCTCCTGGGCTCCAGGCGTCCCTGGGCGGGGGGCCCGTCCCTCCCGTCTCTCCTCTGTCCCCACGGGGCTTCTCCCCTGTGTCTGTGTCTCCTCTTCTGTCTCTTCCAAGGACCTGTCATGGGACGGAGGCCCCCCTGACCCAGGACAGCCTCCGCTCAGGCCCTTCACTCACCCTGTCTGCAAAGCCCTGTATGTGCCTTTCTGTCCTCTGCCTGCTCACCTAACAGTAACAGGCTTTCCAAGTGAGAGGCCACAGATATGTATTTGAGATCAGTGAGAGCAGGCACTGGGGAAGCACGACTTCAGGCAGAAGCAGTCGCGATGAGTGAAGGGCGCAGGGAAAGCACCATGGGAGGCCACGCCAGGCTTCCCCAGGGACCTCAGGAAGCTCCTGCAGACCCAGGACCCATGTTCGCAACCCGAGGGTTTGAGCTCCTAACGCTAACCCGCCCCCACTGGCCCTGCGTGGTGTCTGCGGGACAGATGGACTCCATCACCTCAGCAGGGCTCATCTGCACCTCTCCCTAAATCCTTCCTAGGAAACGCAGGGCTGTCTCCCAGGACCCCAGCCTCTCCTCACGTCTAACCAGGAGCTCAGCTCCCCTGCAACCACATTCGTCCGCGTGCACCGTGGCATCAGCCCCCACCTCTGCTCTGTGTTGCTGTTGCATTTTACATGCTCACCTACATTAATCTGTAATTTGTGACACCCCCCCCCCCTTTTTGTGGCGATGGAGCTGTTATGGGGAAGGTAATAAGAACATGGGTCTCCTGCTGTAATGTGCATTTCTGCACTTTATGGGAATATTGAATAGACTTCATTATTCCTTCCAATACCTGAGTGCATCCTGCCATTTGATTGCGTGGACTAGAAGCATTTCCATACGCCATCCATCACCCTGACCAGTGCAGAGTGCTGAATATTCAGATTCAATTGGAGCTTTTTCCCTATGAATAAGGAATCTGATTCTATCCTATAATATACACTGTCTCCGGGGACAGGAAATTGAGTTGAAGGTGGCTGAAGGCACGTGAGGGAGTTTTATTATCCAAATACGGAATTCTTTTCCTCATCATCAAAGCCCGAGACACCGCTGTGGGGAACCGAGAGGTCAGGACAAAATTCAATTAGAGATGAAAATGGAAAACGGGCATTTTCAACTTACCTTTTATTTCCCCAAACAAGTGGCAGCAAGGAGCAGGGGGGACAAAGAGGTTATTTGTCAAGGTGTCTGACTCGCTCCCTACGGCTCAGGGAGCAGTCTCGACGAGTCAGGCACAGAGAAAGCACCCAGGGGAGGCCACAGAGCCTTCCTCCAGGGACCTCGCCCTCTGGGGACCAACCCTAACCCTAACCCTAACCCTAACCCTCCACCTGCCCTGTGCTGTCTGCAGGAGGCAGGTGGGCTCCCCATTCCTCCGGCAGCCAGTGCCCTCAGGGTCCCAGCATCTCGGCAGGGTGGGGGTGACGGCCCTTTTTCCATTCCCTCCAACCCAAATATTCACTCCCGACGCCAGTAGAAGCTCGAAAACACGAGGCACCCAGTTTGCGCCGGAGCCTGCAGAAGCCTCCAGCCTCAAGTCCCAGACTCCAACCCAGAGGGTCGGACTTGGGGCTCCCGGCACCCAGAACTGCGACAGAACATCGCTGTGTTAAGCCACTGCGCTTGTGGCAATCTGCTACAGCACCCCAGGGCCACTAATACACCTCTAAAATGGCCCCTCACAGGTAGGTATCTAGAATCTCATGCCTGTAACAAACCCTGTCCCCGCCGCCAGGTGTGAATGACCCTCTCCCGTCCCAGTCTCAGCGCCCAGAGAAGCCTCACTGCCTGTTTCGTGTGCCAGCAGCCAGCAGGGGTGACCGCCACCCCAACCTCGGTAGTGAGAACAACAGTCATTCTCACTAGAGCGTCTCTGCCACGGCTGGGACTTGGCTGCACCGGCCAGTGTTGCTCTGATATCACTGACGGGGATCTGGGCTCCTCGGGCTTCTTACCTTGCTGGGAGCCCAGATACCCACCTTCCTTCTCTCCAACGTCTTCACAAAGGGTGTTAACCGTCATTGGGTCTTATCCCCAAGGCTGTCGTAATGGACACACTTAAAAAAAACAACAAAAAACAAAAAAACACCTCACCTGAGGATATGTTTACTGATTTTGAGAGAAAGAGAAACATCCACGTGAAAGACAAATGTAGACCGGCTCCCTCCTGGATGCATCCTGACTGGGGATCCAACCTGCAACCCTTTGGTGTACAGGACCCTCCAAACAAGCCACCAGCCATGCTGAACACTCAGAGCCCACGAAACCGGCGGCACTTTCAGCCTCTCTGCATGATCTGACCTCTGCTTGCAGACAAACCCACTCGTTATGAACCTGTCTCACGTGCTCACCCCTCCCAGGTGGCTCGTGAAACCAGCCCAAGTTGTGGTTCCGAACGCTTTTCAGGCCACAGGTGTACTAGGCACACTGTCCGCCTCCCTGATTATCACAAGCAACAGGTTTCCTAACGTTTCAGCACATGACACGGGTAACTGTCTCCAGCTTCCTTATTTAATTGATTGTATGTAAGAATCCAAACGTTTCTGCCAGGCACACATGTCTCTCACAAGAGCACCTCAAATACTATTTCTAGGTTTGTCTCAGTGCATTCTGTGTTCCAGTATTAACCACCCTAAAAACTCCTCGGAAGGAGCACACCCTCTGCCAGGCTTCTCTCCCCACCCATAGCCAGTCATTACATCCTGTTTGTTTTCTATCTTAATCCATGCTGCACTGTACAACTGCACACTGAATTACCTAATTATCTAATTCTCCTCTCCCTGTCCGTTAGGCTACGAAATCCGTGAGACCATGAACTGTTTTATTCATCTCTGTCCTCAGGCTTCAGCCCACGCTCACAAGGCCCAATTCTAACCCATTTAATTAGGCTGTGTTCTAGTATAATAAATACATTGTGAGTAAATTAAAAGAGAAAAGACTGGTAGAGGCCGGCCAGCTGATGGGAAGAACTACAAGCATTCAGACGGTAGCTGGATAGAAACAAAAATAAAAAGGTGTGGTTGTCGATGGTTCCTTAGAGTCCACAGAGCCCGTGACCTCTGACCGTCTCAGCCCCCGCCAGGCCGTTTAAAGCTGGAGACCTGAATACAGAGTGTTAGTGAACCTCTAAAAAGATTCATCACAAATAGTAAAAAGACACATGCAAACATGATCTCTGTGAAAGTCTTTCCCGTGGATAAAGGGACACATTTGAGCAGCACTCCTCAACCTTTTTTTTTTTTTTTTTTTTTTGGTGGGGGTGGGGATTCTTTTTTAGTTCTTTTTAGTTTGGCTAAAAGTGCTATAAATGAAATCACTAATTTCTTTTTTGTCATTTTTCCTGATTTGTTCCAAACTCTAGTTCTAAAGCGTGTCAAAGCAGACTGTTTTTCAAATGACCAGGTCCACCTGGCATTTACCTGAAATGCTACTGCTTAGGGAGAACATTTTAATGGGCTCCCCCACCTATTTTTTTTGTTGTTGCTCTGGCTGCAGCTAAACGAGAGCCCATAAGGAAGGGCCATAAAACCGTCTCAGCTAAAAGAACCTTAAAAGGCCATGTGATTCATGGTTCTGTCTCTCAAAGCCTATCGTGAAAAACCACTCTGTTTTCAATCAGGAAAGCAGGGCACTGGGTCCCGGGCTGAGTGCCGCCAGGAAGGGGTGCGGGGGTCCTGGGTTCACTGGAAGGAAACGTTCAGGCAACAATAAAGGAATAAGCAATATTCAAATAATGGACTGGGTCTGCCGGTCAGCTGCAACGAGCCATCAGGAACGGCCCAGGAAAGGGCAAATTCCTCAGCTTTAAGACTGCAGGAAAGGCAAGCTGATTGAGCCTCAAACGAAACCAAATGTTGAAAAAGGAATCAGTGAGCAATAAAGCAAGCAGAAACCGGGAAGGGGGAAGACCAAGACGGAATTCGTCAATGGTACCAAGACTCGCCCATCAGAGAAGGACCTGGACACAGACTTGACTGAACGCCTCGCTAGCTACTGGGGAGGAAATAACTGGAGTCAGACGTGCACCTTGGTGGTGACTCGACAAAGATTTAAACAAAAGAAAGGCGTTTAAGTTCACACACATGGCAGATGTAAACTTGATCCCTTTGATATCTGGGTGTACGGCCATGACCACTGAGCTCCACCTCCTAGACAGTCTCTGGGCGTCCTCATCGCCCCCGCCGGAGTGTGAAACCACCCACCCGGGGCCCTGGCAGAAACAGACTTCATATGACTCAGAGGGAAGGGATGCACTGACACCCAGGTGGGACTGAAGTTGCGGGTGTGTCAGCAGCTTTGAGGGGCCACAGGAGGACCCTCGGCTCAGGCCAGCCAAGGAAAAAGCAGCCCACCCTCCCACCTCCCGGAGACCACACACAAGGGAAGCGCACTCAGCGGTGGCTCAGCCCTCCTCCCACACAGTCCTCCAGAATTCAGTCCTCCACTTGCACCCTCCCCACCTCCACTGTTCGGTCCCCAGGACACCGGCCACCCTGACAGGAGGAGCTACGCTTCCATCTGTGCAATGGGCACGCTCCTGCTCCTGCGGGGTGGGCCCTGCACATCCCAGGCCCACAGCACCCCTTTGCCGTCCTGCAGGGGCACCCGAGCCAGCACAGACTGAAGGTGCATTCTGTTTCCATCCTCGTTTATTTCTGTCCGGCTGGCAGCCACACAGCCTCTCCCTCGGCCTCCCCACTGCGCTGGGCGGATAAAGCCGTCTTGTGCAGGAGCCCAAAAAACCCTCTTCCCCTCCAAACCACTGATGAATGGAACACTGACAGGCAGCTCATTAAAGCCCCAGAGTGAAAGGGACATTTGTTCTTTGACAAGAGGTCTGTATGCGATAAAGTCAGACAGACATCTGCACGGTGTTTACCTCTCGCCAGAGTGACAACGTCGCGCACACAGGCATCTGCTTCCCGATGCAGGGACGTAACTTCACAGAATTCCTGCCCACGCTGCTGTCATCACCCAGGACACACGGATTTCCACCTCCCGCGGTGAAAGACAGCCTGAGCTTGGAACCGTTCTACACGCAAAATAAAACCACATTCAAGTTATGCTGTGAGTCTGGCTGTGTTTCTCTGCTGAGTAGCAGAACCCAGATCATTGCACCTCGAAATTACCTCCTAAAACGGACCCAACCAAGCAAAAACGTTAGCAAGATTTTGTTTTTTTAAAAAATCTTACAAAACAGAGAGACTGGGAATAAAGAAAAGAGGTGCCTATGTGCAATGTGGCTGGATCACCGACCCTGTTGCAGGTATCATCGGAAATAAGCTAGTCGTAGGGCAAAAAGGTCATATAATTAACTTCACCTCCATCGAACAGATTATGTTGCAATTATAAGAGCGGTTTATTTTCATCCTAAAAAGCCGCCGTTTGAAGCCGCTGCACGCCCCCAAGCCATCATTATTGCTGATAAACAAAATAAACGTAACCGGGCTCCCGCGGCCCTAAGTTGCCACCGGATCTAAAAACTCCAGCCCCCGGCTCGTGCTCGCTCCCGGCCCCCGCAGCGCGCACGCTCGACCCCCGTTCTCAGCGGGCGCGCAGTGCGCATGCCCGCTCGCTCCCGGTGGGCGCGCACGGCGCATGCCCATCCTCCCCGCCCTTCCTCGCCCACCGCCGGGTCCGCCGCTCACGCTCGGTGGCACGCACGGCGCATGCTCGATCCCCCGACCTCCTCCTCTCCCACCCCAGGCCCCGGCGAGCAAACAGCGCGCATGCTCGCAGCTCCTAGGCCCTAGGGCTGCCTCCTCTACGTGGGCCGCACCCCTAAAAAGCCAAAGAACAGGAAAATCTGGAGCGGGGCGGCCGCCGTTCCCCACCCGCCCCTACCCCAGCTCTCAAACGCCCCTGGCCCCACCGAAGCGCCCGACAAAACGCCGACAGCAGGCAGGCTCTGCAGTCAGGGAGCCGGCGGGTGGCGACGTGATGACGACACCACGCGCCGCGGTGACGCAGGACGCAGGCGACCTTGTTTGGGAGCGCGGCCGGCGCGGCCGTTTTGAAGCTGCCCTGAGCCGCGGCCCGCCTCTTCCGCCTGCGCCCGGCCCCCGAGAGAGCGCGGGCCCCGCCTCCTGCCCGGCCCGGACCCCCGCCCGGCGGCCGCCGCGCGTCCCCCGACCCCGGGCCCAGACCCCCGCCCGGCGCTGCCTTCGCCGCGGACCCTGGCCCCGGGCCTGCGACCCCGGCCCGGCCGGGCGCCGCCCGCACCTCGGAGCCCGGTGCCCGCCCCGCTGGGCTCGCCGCCTCGGCCGCTGCGGCCCGCGCCCCCGGGCCCCTGAGGCCGCACTGCGCCCCTGCACGAGGAAGGGGGCCCCGGGAGGCCGGGCCGAGCCCGGAGATGCCGCCCGGCAAAGTGCTGCAGCCCGTGCTGAAGATGAAGGTGGACGAGCTGTTCCTGTGCTGGCTCAGCGAGGCCAGCACGCAGGCGATGCTGCGGGACTGTCTGCACAGGGTGCGGGCGCCGGGCCGCGCCGACGCGGGCGCTGGGGACGCGGCGCCCCCGGCCCCCGCCTGCAAGCCCGGCGTGCCCGACGGCCTGGGGGCGCCCGGCCCGGGCCCCGCGTCCACCGCGCTGCCGCTGGGAGCCGCCTCCAGCCCCCGGAATGGGCCGCACGTCCGAGGGACTCGTCGATCCGCAGGGACGCGAGTAGTAAGTTCCTCTTCCTTCTGCTACCGCGGCTAGGGAACTCTGGCCGCCGAGCGAGGTGCTGCAGGTGCTGCCGGAGGGCTTGGAAGAGGGGCTGGAGCAGGTGCTGCAGGAGGGGTGCTGGAGGGCCTGCAGGAGGACCTGGGGCAGAAGGAGGGGCTGCAGGAGCTGGAGGAGTGGCTGCAGGAGGACCTGGAGGTGCAGGAGGGCCTGGAGCAGGGGCTGCAGCAGGGGCTACAGAAGCTGGAGAAGAGGCTGGAGCAGATAGTGCTGAAGGGCTGCTGCAGGAGCTGGAGGAGGAGCTGGAGGAGGGCCTAGAGGCGGTAGAGGAGGGGCCAGGAGAGGCTCTGGAGGAGGACCTGGAGGGGTGCTGCAGGTGCTGGAGGAGGGCCTAGAGGCGGTAGAGGAGGGGCCAGGAGAGGCTCTGGAGGAGGACCTGGAGGGGTGCTGCAGGAGGAGCTGGAGGAGGGCCCAGGAGAGGCCCTGGAGGAGGAGCTGCAACAGGGGCCCGAGGCAGGTTGACACTCTGTTTGTTGGGTGGTATCAGAGTCCTGAGTTGAGGGACATGTGCTCCATTCTCATTTTCCCGCTGGCTGCAGGAGTGGCTGCTGGGACGTCTGCGGGGTGGGTTATGCAAGGGTGTGGTGTTTCGTGGAGATTCATACTGCCCACAGTGGGCAGCCCAAACAGACCCACTTGTCCCTAGGGTGCTGAGACGAGCTGGCTGAGCTGAGAAGGTGGAACGGTCTGTGACAGGAGCCATGACAGGGCCAGCAGGGTGACATTGAAAACTCCTCTAGGCTGGCAGTTTGCACAATGACAGCCAGGTTGGAGGGAGACAAGAGCGGTTTTCTCCTAACCATTCCAGGAGTTTTCATTAAGGGATGATTCACTGATCTTGTCTGGGACCTGAAGTTGACTTTAAGCATGCCTTAATGTATCTGGAATCTGGGCCATTCCAGTTGAATTTCGAAGCGTGCTGTCATGAGGAGGGAGGGAGAGCTGGTTCCCGCTCTCCCAGTCAAGGCAGTGTGGGGGCGGTGTGACAGGCCGATTGCCGGCTGCACACTGGCAGGGGAGGAGGCTCGGGCTGGGGCAGGGATTTTCATAAATAAAACCACTTTCTCAAGCACATACACTTTGCAAGACTGACAGCCTCCCGGCAGTTTCTTGTCATCCGTGGCCCATTTAGTTCCCCAGGTAATAGTAAGAGGAGACAGATGCCCCATGAAAACAGTACATGGCATATCAAAATACAGGTTGTGATTAGTACCGGGACTGCTAGGTTGTGTTAGTCTGAGGACGTCATGAGAAATATTGTGAACGTGTGTGGCAGACTTGGGACCTGAAGGGCCCTTGCAGTGTGTGTCCCCTTCCGTCTTTGGAGGGAAAGAACATGTGGGGGCAGAGAGTGAGCACCGAGTCCTCTGAGCGTTCATGTGTGTCTGTCTGTCGGTCCCATGGTAGCGGCCTGGATGGTACTGCCAGGTAGAACCTGGCAGTGTTCTTACATTAAGTTCTCGGAAGGGGAAACGGGACCTTCATGTAAGTGAGCTGGGGCTTCTCTTGTTGACCCTGTGCTGACCCCGGGAGAAAGGCCCAGTCTGACCCAGTGTGCCTGAGCTGACCAGCCACTTCTTTCCTTGTCGTGACCTCAGCTCAGGACTCAGACCCTGGTTTCACAGGGGCCTGATGGATCAACTCTCACAGGCAACGAACCAAAGAGAGGCTTCATGACAATCAGGTTCCTAACAAGCTGAGAGCAGATTCCACACTGCGTACCCCCACCATGTGTCCCAGCGATTCCCTGTCTCCTGTCCCTCCGTACTTCCCAGCAATTCCCTGCCCCCTGCACCTCCATATGCCCCAGCGATTCCCGGTCCCCCATCCCTCTGTGCGTCCAGTGATTCCCTGTCCCCCGTCCCTCCGTACGTCCCAGCGATTCCCTGCCCCCTGCACCTCCATATGCCCCAGCGATTCCTGGTCCCCCATCCCTCTGTGCGTCCAGTGATTCCCTGTCCCCCGTCCCTCCGTACGTCCCAGCGATTCCCTGTCCCCTGCACCTCCATATGCCCCAGTGATTCCCTGCCCCCTGCACCTCTGTACGTCCCAGCAGCCAATGCCACGCTCACTGGGACCTCAGAAACACGAGTGCCACACAATTCAATAGTCGCTTCTGTGTCCCTGGGGCCCTGCGATTTCTTGGTAGGATGATGCGATATCCCTGGGGTACTGCAGCTTCCGGGGGCTGAAGAAGGGCCCATGGGTCCTGTGATTTGGATATGGGGGGATGCAGCGCTCCAGCGTCTGGGAGGGAAATTCCCACCTGCCCACTGGGAACCTCTTTCAGGAAGGGTGAGTGAGGAGTGCGGGGCCTGAGTCTGCTTTGCACTGCTCAGGGTCCTGCGTGTGCCTGGGACACCTGTGTTCTTGGCTTTTTAAACAAGCCCTAACCACAGGCTGTGCGTGGGCGGAACTCGCAGGACATGGGGCTGGCCTTCCCTCTACCTGTGGCTGGGTGCCCCTGAACACAGGAGGACAGCGGGAGGGAGCAGAGGGGCGGACACAAGGAAGGGCTCCTCCTCTTAGGGGCGTTACTAAGGCCAGGGCCTGTGGTCCAGATGGGAAGACAGTTCTTGGTGGCGGGAGGCAGTTAGTGCCGAGGACCATGGGGTGAGCAGACCCCCTGGTGCTGTCTCATAGTGTCAGGGTGTGGGGCGCAGGTGTAGTCTTGAGACTGCAGTTATCAGGACCACCCAGAGAGGTGCTGCCTGGGGGGCACCGGCCGTACTTCCTTCCAGAAATGGGGCCAGCGCAGGGCCTCCTCTCCCTGGGGGGCAGCACGTCCTGGGAGAGCCCTCTGTTCGGCCCGATGCCCCAGACGTCATCTCCACTAATACCCGGTGTCACTGTGCCAACACAGGGCGGTCCTGGTGTCCCCTGCCCACAGCGGAGCCCACACTCAGAGTACACAGCCACCCGCAAGCTCTGGGCAGGCGTGGAGACTCCTTCCCTGCGCTCCCATTTCTGTTCCAGCTCCTTCGGGTGCAGGCTGGTGCCCAAGGCTGTGCCCCGGGGCCGTGTCGGCATGAACCCCGTCACTATTGAGAGGTGTCTGCATCCATGCACGAGGCGGGACCTCTCTGGGCTGCGTGCCAGTGTGTGGGTGCCCATTTCCTTCCTGGTGGGGACGGGTGGGGTCACCTGGGCTGTGAGCTCAGGCATCTCCGGTCCTGAGCCCGTGTTTCACCCCTGCCCTCACCCCCCAGTCTGCATGACAGGCGGGTCACATTCCACACTGTCCTCCCCTCTCCACAGCACCTGTGCCCCAGTGCTACCAAATCCGGAGGACTGCCCCCCCCCCCCCCGTGCTGGGCAGGAGAGTGTCAGGGTGTCAGGGTGCCCTTGGTGGTGCACATATATCTTCCCAAGGCTGCAGGGCAGGGAGGGCACTGCACTTGCACCCCACGTTCTGGGCTCTGGGGAAGGGACCCTGGTGCGGGGCCAGCACAAAACCGCAGGCTGCGTGCCCTGTGACAGGCTCGCTGTGCGGGACACCTTCACTTCTCTGGAGCTCTTGTCCCTCCCTCCTCAGAGCCAGCAGGCCTGTCCCCAGCCCCTCTCCCACCAACCTGCTCACTTCCTCTGACCATCCGCCAGCCCCCACAGTCCCTGTGCCCAGAGCGCCTCCGCGGCCTCCTGCAGCCAGCGCAGCACAGCACAGCGCAGGGAGACCCCTCAGGGAGCCGTGTCCTGGTGCTCCCTCCTGCCCGCCGGCCTGCCCGCCTGCCGAGTTCCCTGCCCAGCTGCTCCCTCAGCCGCCGCGCCTTCCCCCACCCTCAGCATGTGCCCTCCTCAGCCTGTGGAATGCGTGCGGCCCAGGGCCGGCCCCCAGAGCGCCTGCCTGACCGTGCATGGAGCACGCTGAGCTCGGCCAGCCTCACAGTCCCAGCCAGCGCAGCTGCCGCCCCGACCCCGCCGGCCCCGGCCAGGCCCAGCTTCGTGAGCACGGCACCCGGCCCGGGCCCTGGCGGCCCATGCGCGCCGACATGAGGCTCAGGGAGCTGTCTCTGCGCCAGGACCCCGACCTGAGGCAGGAGCTGGCCTCCCTGGCCCGCGGCTGCGACTTCGTGCTGCCCTCCCGGTTTAAGAAGAGGCTCAAGGCCTTCCAGCAGGTGCAGGGCGGGCGGGCGTGGCGGGTCTGCTTGTGTGGCTGCTCACCTTGTCCCTCACGTCCTTGGGAGGTCGGGCCTCTGGGGAGGGGGCTGCTCCTCGTCCAGGAGCCTTGCCTGCCGGTGTTTCTCCCGGAACAGCTGTCTGTGTAGAGCTGAGCCCTGTGAGTGTCTGGGGACAGTTGTTTGGAAAGAGCTCCGCCGTCTCCTCTCCTGTAGTCTAGCAGCTAACACCCACCGTGGGCTGAGAGCTGACTTCGGCGGGGGGGCTCGGCGGTCTGCAGGTGGGGCGGCCAGCAGCTTGAGCTGCCCGCCCGGAGCCCCGCTGTGCAGTGCAGAGGGCAGCCCTCCCTTGGAGACTAGAGTGGACAGATGTCTGCGACTCCGTGGCGTGGTTGGGTGGACTCGTTTCTCTGGCCGCACCGCTGTGTGGTGGCGACAGCACGTCCCGTGCACCAGCTTTGTCGGAGTGGACGCTGTCTGTGGGGTAGCGAAGCTTGTCGCAGGTACGTCCCTTCACACCAGAGCCTCATGGCAGCGTCTGGCACCCTGCTGGGCCCAGCGTGAGCTCTCACAGGCGGTCACCGAGGTGCCCACACGCTGCACAGGTCAGGGTTTCTCGTCACCAGCTGGCTTTTCTTTTCATCGATCTGTTTGTTTGTTTTTTTAGACGTATCTTTATTGTTAAGTGCATTGCGGATGTCCCCCTTTACCCCCTCCTCCCCGCTCCCGCCCCCTCCTGCCTTCCCCCCATGGTCTGTGTCCATTGGCCATGCACATGTCACAGCTGTGAGCTCCTCCGAGTGTCGTAGGTGCTCCGAGCAGTAATGCGCAGGTCCTGTCTGTACGTGGCCCGTGCTCCTGTGTTCTTGCACAGAACCACACACTGTGAAGCCCTCTGGGGAATCACTGTGACGGGAGGTTTCTGTGGTGGAGCCCCGCCCCCGTCCCCCTGCGGTGCTGGGGCAAGGGTGCTGGGCAGCTCAGCCTCTCCCCAGACTGCACTTGAATGCGTGTCGCGGCCTAAAAACATCACACCAGTGAAGCATCCTGCTCGGGTGAACAGGCCTCCTTCCTGCTGACAGGTCACTGGCGTCTCTGGGACCACATTTCAGCAAGGCTGCTCCTCCGTCCTGTGCCCTCCTTCGCGGTCTGTGAGCCGGCCAGAGCTGTCATTTCTCCTTGCGTTTAGTCAGTCTATTTAAACTCGTCTTAATTTGGAAGTGGAGTCAGCGCAGTGTGATCGAGTTGAGGACAGGAGGGCAGCCGGTGTGGCTGCAAGGGTGTCTGGGGCCCTGGCCGTCCTCTGCCTGTCTCTCCATCACGCGGCTGTTGTGGAAAGTCTGGGCTGTTCTTGGATGGCTGTTTATCCAGAAAATTCCCTCTTTGGGAAGTAAATTCCATGAAGTCCCCTAACAGGGCGCAGCTTCATGTCCCGGAAAATGGGCTCCCACAGTGTCTTCAGAGGCCTTTCTCATGGGGCAGCGGGGGGAGCAGGACCTTCCTGGTGTCTCTTCCCAGTGTGGATGCGGACACAGCGTTGGCTGGGCAGTGCCTGTGGGAGGCAGCGGGAGATGACGGGGGTGACAGGGTCGGTGTTTCAGATGTGGCAGTGATGCTGGGCCCAGCCAGGTGTGTCCTCGCTGTGTCCGAGGCCAGAGGGCCGTGGGGAGCGTGGCCATGTGGTCTGTGGGCTGTGTCCATCCACCCGCCCGCCAGGCCGGCCGGCCCAGGGATTCTCATGTCAGAATGTCATCGGCTCAGCCAGGCTCCCGCGCTGGGCAGGGAAGGTTCTGAGCACCTCCCTGGACTCAGCTTCTGGAACAGGACATCACTGTCCGCGAGGCACAGGCACCGGTGCCCTCACAGGCCCCTCCTGCCAACTGCCGGGGCAGCGCAGCCTCTCAGGCCCCAGCCTGCCGTCTCTGTGGGGAAGCCTCAGAGCCCGTCCGTGCTCTCGACATGTGCGCACCGCCGGCCGGTGGGCCCGTACTCAGGTCGTGGGCCCAGAGCAGAGCTGACCCCTCCATGGCTGGGCCACCGGGCAGCCTGGCTCCCGTCCCAGTGCTTCTTCTGCAGCCCGTTGGCGGCCGAAACCTGGGACAGTCCTCGATGCCTCCCGTGGTGGGTCTTCTGTCGCCTCCCCGAGCCAGGCCTGCACGTGTGGTAGACAGTGGGCCCTTCCAACAGACCTTGGCACGGGCCGGTTTCCTTGTCCCCGTGTCTGGCTCCTCTGTTTCGCATGTCGATGCTTTGACTCTGACGTTCGGTGTGTTGTTTGTTGCCAGTGTGGAAGGTCCGTGGGAGCCCAGAGGAAAGTCCAGGGCCTGCAGGGGCCTCCCGCTGGGGGTCAGGGAGGGAGGGTGTCCCCGTGGGTGCCACCCTTGCCTCAAATCCACGTGCTGCTGTGCCAAGCTACGTAGGTCTGGTCCTGGCGGGCATCTGCCCTGGGACACCAGGAGCTGGTCGGCCTGCGCCCTGGCACCGCTGACCAGCCTGCTGGGTCCCCTCCCGTGTGCTGCAGGGCCGTGTGGTTGGCGTGGGGCCAGGTCACGTGCTCGGTCCCAGCCCCTGCCTCAGCGCTGACGTCGGGCCCTCTGTGTGTGGCGTCTAGAAACGTGCTTGTGGGCACCACCCAGAGGGATTTCCCGGGCCCTTGCCTCCTCCTGGCACTGCCTGCCACGGACGCCGCATGTCTGCACAGACGCTTGTGTCTAGGCGGTCTGCACACGTCTGCAGCACCGGGTGTGGGTCCTGGAATGGTGAGCGGTCAGAGAGAGCTCTGTGCCCGGGTGTCGTCTTTGTCGTTGCCCTGGTGACAGCGTTGGGCCGCGTCGAGGGCACGCGGAGGAGGGCTGGAGAGCAGCGCTCGGAAACCAGCCGCTCAGCCCTGCTAGTGTTCCTCTCCGAGGCGCGAGGACTGCTGTGAACCCTGCCACATGCACAGCGCACGCGCACAGAGCACGTGTACACACACACACAGAGCACGTACACGCACACAGCGCACATACATGCACACACAGAGCGCACACACACACACAGAGCACGTACACGCACACAGCGCACATACATGCACACACATACACGTACACAGAGCATGTACACGTACACAGCACACACACACGCGCAAGGGCAGCACGCTGTCCGCCGTCCCTCGCGGTCTGCGGCCCGGGGCACCGCGGGTGGTGCCGACTCCCGGGCCCGCGCCTGGGCAGGAATGTCCACAGCTGTGCTGGGACGCGGTCTATTTCTGTCCTGGAGATTAAGCCTGTGAACCTTCTGTGTCCACGCCGGCCTGTTGTGATTCTCGTCGTCCAGTCAGCTCTGCGGTCAGTGCGGGGAGCTGGGCTCGGCCTCCTTCTCTGCTGGACTCGCCTTTCCCAGCGGCGCGTGCCCGCTGTGCGGGCGCAGGGCAGCGGGGGCGTCCCTGTCCCACATGCAGCCCTCGCGCGGGGCCAGTCGTGTGCAAAGGCACCTGCTGGGGGTGTGTGCGCACGGACGTCCTCGGCTCCCGGGGTCCCTGCTGACAGACCGTCACGCGTCGGCCATGCCGTGCGCTGGAAACGCACTTACCGTACGTGACTGCCCAGCCCCAGGCTGGCCCTGTCCACCGGAGGCGCGGCCGTCCGTGGTGAGCCCCCAGCAGGCTCCGCTCGGGGAGCTCGGACTCCGTGGTCCTGCGCTGCTCCTCCCTGCCGGCACCCGCTCCTCTCCCGGGACACTCTGTGTCCCTGGGCCAGCCACAAAGTGGCACCTTCTCCAGCGTGACCGCTGTGTTTTACACCGAATGTTGACTCCCTCTCCGTTTACCGTCACGTTGGGTCCATCCTACGTACCTTCCTCCCGGTCTTGTTTCTTTGTGTCCTGTCCCCTCGTCTCCCGCTGTCGTTGCCTCGTCCCGTTCACACTGTCCCCTTCCTCCCGGCGTACTGGTGGTCAGCCCTGGGGACGCCACCCCTGCGCGTGTGCAGGCACAGTGACCGACGGCCCTGCACCGGCTGTGCTGGTCCCTGAGAGGGCCGCCCGGAATCGAGATGACTCTGTGGCTGGGGCGGGGACGGCGTGCGCACAGCCTCCCGGAGCGGCCCCTCTGCCTCCAGACGCTCCGGGGGGCACTTGGCTCCTGCTGGGAGCCCTTCCTCCGCACAGCCTGAGCGAGTGTCTGCTCACGGATTCCGAGTGACTGAGGGGGCGCATGGCCGGGGGTGCGCAGACTGTCCCCGCGCTGTAGGGGTCCCGGCTGCGTGCTGGGGTCAAGAAGCCCCTCCCAGGTCGCAGAAGCTCCGAGCGGACCTGGTCGGCCAGTGCCTCCGGGTCGTTGGGTGGTTTGTGCCCCTGCGGCGCTGCGGGGTGTGAGCTCTGGTCCGCGCCTCCAGTACTCACTGAGCACCGTGAGAGGAGGGAGCCCTCAGTGGTAGGGGACCCGTTGCCCTCCGCTACGCTGGCCACGTGGGCGTCCTTGCCCGTGGTTCCCTGCACCCCGCATGGTTGTCACGAGGCCCTTGTGCTGAGCGTGGATCCCCGCAGGCTCCTCGTGCTGCTCTCGGGTCCCACGCCTTGTCCAGTGGCGAGCCCCTCGTGCTCCCCTGCTGCGTGTCTGCTGCCCCCCCCCCCCGCCACATTCAGCCCCCACACCGCAGGTGTCGGGCTTCCAGTCCTGGGCCAGCACTGCCCGTCGGCACACTGGCGCTGCTGCCGCATCCAGCCGCGGCCTCGTGTCCCCAGGTGACTCTGGCCCACCCTGACCTGTCCCAGTCCCGCGCAGGACACATCTGCCGTCGCCCATTCTGGCAGGAACGAGGCCCAGGGTGCAGGTCCTTTGTGGGAGGGCCCTCCGCAGGCGTGCGGGCAGCTGCTCGGTCCTCGGGGATGTGCCCTGAGAGGGGTGCAGGCGGGACCCCATCCTGACAGCGACAGCCCCTCCGGAGCCCGCCTGTGCTGACCCTGAGCCCCCAGGGACCACAAGCCGGTTCTCGGGCCGTGCTGGCTCAGGCAGCCTGGTGCGCAGCTGCCCGTCCGGGGCCTACCCCGCAGGACGGCAGGAGGCCGAGCGTGTGGGTCAGAGGTCACACGGGCCCATTACCTCGTGTGCACAGCTCAAGACTGCAGTGGCTGCAGGGACGGTCAGGTGTCCATGCAGACCCAGGTCAGGGGGGCTCCGTGCACCCACGTGCAGGTGAATTCCTCACCCGTCCGTCATGCACGTGTGAAGGTGTTTGGTGGTCCACGTTCTCACGTGGGTGTGATCTCTGTCACTTCCCAGGTGCAGACCAAGAAGGAGGAGCCCCGGCCGCCAGCCAGCAGCCAAAGCATTCCAGCCTTCTACTTCCCGCGAGGCCGGCCCCAGGACTCGGTGAACATAGACGCCGTCATCGCCAAGATCGAGAGGGCTTTCGCCCAGTTCCCGCACGAGAGGGCCACCATGGAGGACATGGGCACAGTCGCCAAGGTGGGCGTCCCGGTGCGGGCAGCCGCGTCTGCTCCTTCATCATCCGGTCAGATCTGGGCTGGCCTTCCGCTTCCGTTCTCAGTCTGACACAGGACCTGGGCGGTTTCTGTCCTACCTGTTGGAGGACAGACGCTTCCCTGTGTCAGCTGCCAGCGTAGGGCGTGGGGACACTGCATCAGTGAGGGCGTGGTCCCCCAGGTCCCGCCCCAGCTTCCGCAGGCCCCGCCCTGTCCTTCCTGAGGTCCCTCCCAGGTGGAGCTCTGCGTCCTTGGGGGTGCCCCGCGGGGTGGGCAGTGCGGACGCTCAGTGCACACGTGAGATTTCACACTGCAGGAGATCTCGCCGCCGGGTGCTTTCCCCCAATGGGTGTCTCCGCGTTGCCCATGGTGACGGGTGCGGGTGTGGCACGGTCACCAGCTGCTGTGCTGTGGCAGGAACACCCGGCTGACTTCTCCCTGCCCCGTGGTATCTGTGCCGCGAGGGACCTGTGCCTGTTTCTCTGCATCTCCCCCTGGGCCCAGGGCCGCCCGCCTGCCCTCCAGCACAGGGTTCAGGGTCTGCAGTGGGACCCCTGACACTTCTAAAGTACATGTTGTGTAACTTATACACGGGCTACCCTGAGTCTTTGTACTTTTGCTGTGACTTTTTAAAATCTTAATGAAATCGACACGGAGGACCCTCTTCCCCAGGGGTGTTTCTGCGTCCTTGTGACCAGTCAGGGCAGGGACGAGGACGTCCTTCAGGTGCGTGTCTGCCAGCCTCAGGGATCGCAGCGTGGTTTCCTCTCACGAACTCCGGTCCTCCTCTGTGTCAGCTCCTCACACACTTTCTGTTCTCGTGTTTTCTACTCCTTGAATGGGACAGTTTAGTCTCTGTGAGACCTCCCGGGGGGACAGTTCAGTCTCTGAGACCGCCCGGGGGACAGTTCAGTCTCTGAGACCGCCCGGGGGGACAGCTGTGGCAGGGACACTGCCCCTTTGAAGTGCACAGTGTGGCATGTTTTAGTGAGCGCACACCCTCGCGTGTCCACCCTGACTCCAAGAAGGGCGCCTCATCCACCACAGGCCCTGTGCCCGGCCCTCCCCTCCATCCCAGCCCAGCTCCGCCGCCATCCCCTGTCCACAGGGCCTTCCTTCCTGCCACCCCACAGGGACGGGCACGTGCAGAGCTGGCTGGCACCTGCCCCTCCTGCGGAGCCAGATCGCCACCTTCCTGCCCCTCCCCCAGGAGCTGGGGGCCCAGCCGTGGCCCACCAGCGTGCGATCCGGTGGTTTCCAGCTGTGTCTGGTGGCGAAGCTGCCGTCACCTTTTCTGGGCCGACGCCCCTGGGAGTGGACTGCTGGGTCCTCGGGCGACCGTGCGTCTCACTTCACAGGACGCTGCAGTGACAGGTCCCGGGCGGCTTCTCTGCGGGGCCGACAGCTGTGAGGAGCAGTGTGCTGGGGTCCTGCTGCCCTTGCTGTGGCCACTTCACCATCGCCCCCGGGGCGTGCGCAGAGCTGTCCCCCGCACTCCCTGTGCCCACGCGGACCTGCGCTGTGCTCCGTCAGTCTGCCCCCATCTGGCGGCTGTCCTGAGGCGCAGCCGAGGGAGATGAGCGGCACATGTAGCATGTTCAGTTACACCCATGACACGTGTCCCGTGACACAGGACGTGTCTCTTCTGACCATTCGCACTGCTCAGATCCATTTCTGGGGTTCATGAACTCTGGGGGAGGGTCATGTCCTCACACACCGACCATGAGCGGGGTCCTGTGCCCTCTGCAGGCTCGCTGGCTGGTCTGCAGGAGAAGGCGGGAGCTGGCGCCCCCTCTCCCCACTCCCCGCCCCCCCCGCCCGGCCGTGGACGCGGCTGAGCTTCTGTGCGCTGCCCCGCGAGCTGCCTCCGCTTCCAGGCCCCGGGGCCTGACATCAGGTGTGCGGGCTGGAGCCCGGCGACGGCTCGTCTGCTGGCACACAGGTGGCTGTGCGGTTCCGTCTGTCCGTCTGTCATCACGTGAAGTCAAGGCATCGGGTCCCAGGCCCGTGAATCCCAGCCCCCGCTCTCTCCTTGCGTCTGGACGCTGACGCTGGCGTCCCTGGGGTCGGCCTCAGGCACGTTGGTCTCAGCTGAGCAGGCTGAGCCTCAGGGACCCGCAGGTGTGTTCTCACCTGCCCGTTCTCCAGAACCCCGTCATGTCCTACAGCGAAGCGTTTGGGTCTCTCTGGGGAGGCCGTGCCGCTGCTTGTTTCTTGTGCTGACAGGTCCGGTGGGCCGAGGGCCCTGACCCTGTCTCAGGTCTGAGGGGGCCTGTGTCTCAGGTCCGAGGGGTCTGTCCCCTCGTGTCCTTTCCCAGAACTGCAGCCTGGGCTCTGGTGGTGACATCTGGGTCTCGTCTTTGTTTTCACTCCCTTTGTCCAGAACTGGTTTCATCTTCTGACCTTTTTCGAGAACCAGCTTTTAGTGGTCCAGTGGTTCTCTGTCGCCTCGATTTCGTCTCCTTCGCTGCAGCCTGTCTTTCTCCCCCTCCCGCCTCTCCTGAGGCCGCCGTCCTCCAGGCGCCTCTGCGGCCCTCCCGGGTCTTCCCGTGTTCCCTGGAGCCGCTGGTCCTGTCCTTCCCTCCCCGTCACTCAGACGTTGTCACCTCCGCCTGCAGCCGGGCGGCCTCCCTGGGGTTTCCTGTCGCTGACTCCGACTGCGGGGGGCAGGGAAGTGCTGTGGCCGTGGTCCTCGTGAGTGACGTGGACTAGCTCCGGGGGGGAGGGGTCCCCCATGGCCAACGCCCGTGAGCGCCATAGGCACCCTCCGCTCCCGAGTGTGAGTTCGCACAGGTGTGGGCTGGGGTTTGGGGTTGCCGGTCCATCTCCAGGGAGGGTGCTGAGCTCACGCCCGTCGCTGCAGCTCCCCGCACTCAGGCCCCTCCGTGGCCCCCGCCTGTGCTCCTGCTAGGAGCTGCCACATGGACGCCCCTCTGCTCCGCACGCCTGCGCTGAGCGCCTCCCTCCCAGGGCCTCCCCTCCGCGGTGCCAGCACGGCTGTGGTCTGAGGTCAGGTGATCCACAGTGGGAGACGCAGAGCCCAAGGAGAGGCCGGCTCCCCCCTGCTCCCTGCACACCTCAGCTGCACCCCTCAGCTCCCGCCGTTGGCTCCCCCACACCAGCTGGCTGGCCCGCAGCGCTGCTCAGGCCTCCCCACACAGCCCACCCACGAGGCTGCCCCACCTCAGGCACTGCTGTGAGTCCCCGGTTCTCACCCGTGCTTGTGATCGATCAGCTAAGGGTTCAGGGGTTCTCAGCACCTCCTCCTGCTTCCCCAGTCTGCTGGAGCGGCTCACAGAAGTCAGGGAAACACCGCCCTTGACCCGGTCATTGAAGGATGGGACAGCAGGTGAAAACACAGGGTGAGACGGGCAGGTCCCAGCACGGAGCCTGTCTCCAGGGACTTGGGTGCACCCCGTCTGGCCCATGGGTGTGTTCAGACCCAGGAGCTCCCTGTGCCTGGTGCTTTAGGGGTTGACGGAGGCTGACCGCTCCAGCCTTCTAACCATGGTTGGTCTTTCCAGGGACCAGCCGGGCAGCATCCGCTCATTAGCACAGACACCCCCGTCATCCAGGAAACGCTAAGCAAGGCGTGTAGGAGTGAGGAACTGGGCCCCAGAGCACCCCTGCTTCTCAGTTCCACACACCGCAGTGTGGCTGCCCCCGAGGGGCTGTGTGCGAAGTGAGGCCAGACCTGGAAGATCCGACGGCGCAGCTGTGTGCCTGGCCTTCGGGAAACGGTCACAGGGACAGAGGAGAGCCCTGGGTGGGCTGTGGGGACAGGACCGGGTGGGGACAGAGGAGAGCCCTGGGTGGGCTGTGGGGACAGAGGAGAGCCCTGGGTGGGCTGTGGGGACAGGACCGGGTGGGGACAGAGGAGAGTCCTGGGTGGGCTGTGGGGACAGGACCGGGTGGGGACAGAGGAGAGTCCTGGGTGGGCTGTGGGGACAGGACCGGGTGGGGACAGAGGAGAGCCCTGGGTGGGCTGTGGGGACAGAGGAGAGCCCTGGGTGGGCTGTGGGGACAGGACCGGGTGGGGACAGAGGAGAGTCCTGGGTGGGCTGTGGGGACAGGACCGGGTGGGGACAGAGGAGAGTCCTGGGTGGGCTGTGGGGACAGGACCGGGTGGGGACAGAGGAGAGTCCTGGGTGGGCTCTGGGGACAGGACCGGGTGGGGACAGAGGAGAGTCCTGGGTGGGCTGTGGGGACAGGACCGGGTGGGGACAGAGGAGAGTCCTGGTTGGGCTGTGGGGACAGGACCGGGTGGGACAGAGGAGAGCCCTGGATGGGCTGTGGGGACAGGACCGGGTGGGGACAGAGGAGAGCCCTGGGTGGCTGTGGGGACAGAGGAGAGCCCTGGGTGGGCTGTGGGGACAGGACCGGGTGGGGACAGAGGAGAGTCCTGGGTGGCTGTGGGGACAGGACCGGGTGGGGACAGAGGAGAGTCCTGGGTGGGCTGTGGGGACAGGACCGGGTGGGACAGAGGAGAGCCCTGGGTGGGCTTGGGGACAGGACCGGGTGGGGACAGAGGAGAGTCCTGGGTGGGCTGTGGGGACAGGACCGGGTGGGGGACAGAGGAGAGTCCTGGGTGGGCTGTGGGGACAGGACCGGGTGGGGGACAGAGGAGAGTCCGGTGTGGGCTGTGGGGACAGGACCGGGTGGGGACAGAGGAGAGTCCTGGTGGGCTGTGGGGACAGGGACCGGGTGGGGACAGAGGAGAGTCCTGGGTGGGCTGTGGGGACAGGACCGGGTGGGGAAGAGGAGAGTCCTGGGTGGGCTGTGGGGACAGGACCGGGTGGGACAGAGGAGAGCCCTGGATGGGCGTGGGGACAGGACCGGGTGGGGACAGAGAGAGCCCTGGGTGGGCTGTGGGGACAGGACCGGGTTGGGGACAGAGGAGAGCCCTGGGTGGGCTGTGGGGACAGGACCGGGTGGGGGACAGAGGAGAGCCCTGGGTGGGCTTGGGGACAGGACCGGGTGGGGACAGAGGAGAGCCCTGGGTGGGCTGTGGGGACAGGACCGGGTGGGGACAGAGGAGAGTCCTGGGTGGGCTGTGGGGACAGGACCGGGTGGGGACAGAGGAGAGCCCTGGGTGGGCTGTGGGGGACAGGACCGGGTGGGGACAGAGGAGAGCCCTGGGTGGGCTGTGGGGACAGGACCGGGTGGGACAGAGGAGAGCCCTGGGTGGGCTGTGGGGACAGGACCGGGTGGGGACAGAGGGAGAGTCCTGGGTGGGCTGTGGGGACAGGGACCGGGTGGGGACAGAGGAGAGTCCCTGGGTGGGCTGTGGGGACAGGACCGGGTGGGGACAGAGGAGAGTCCCTGGGTGGGCTGTGGGGACAGGACCGGTGGGGACAGAGGAGAGTCCCTGGGTGGGCTGTGGGGACAGGACCGGGTGGGGACAGCGGAGGAGTCCTGGGTGGGCTGTGGGGACAGGACCGGGTGGGGGACAGAGGAGAGCCCTGGGTGGGCTGTGGGGACAGGACGGGTGGGGACAGAGGAGAGCCCTGGGTGGGCTGTGGGGACAGGACCGGGTGGGGACAGAGGAGGTCCTGGTGGGCTGTGGGACAGGACCGGGTGGGGACAGAGGAGAGTCCTGGGTGGGCTGTGGGGACAGGACCGGGTGGGGACAGAGGAGAGCCCTGGGTGGGCTGTGGGGACAGGACCGGGTGGGGACAGAGGAGAGCCCTGGGTGGGCTGTGGGGACAGGACCGGGTGGGGACAGAGGAGAGCCCTGGGTGGGCTGTGGGGACAGGACCGGGTGGGGACAGAGGAGAGTCCTGGGTGGGCTGTGGGGACAGGACCGGGTGGGGACAGAGGAGAGCCCTGGGTGGGCTGTGGGGACAGGACCGGGTGGGGACAGAGGAGAGCCCTGGGTGGGCTGTGGGGACAGGACCGGGTGGGGACAGAGGAGAGCCCTGGGTGGGCTGTGGGGACAGGACCGGGTGGGGACAGAGGAGAGTCCTGGGTGGGCTGTGGGGACAGGACGGGTGGGGACAGAGGAGAGCCCTGGGTGGGCTGTGGGGACAGGACCGGGTGGGGACAGAGGAGAGCCCTGGGTGGGCTGTGGGGACAGGACCGGGTGGGGACAGAGGAGAGCCCTGGGTGGGCTGTGGGGACAGGACCGGGTGGGGACAGAGGAGAGCCCTGGGTGGGCTGTGGGGACAGGACCGGGTGGGGACAGAGGAGAGCCCTGGGTGGGCTGTGGGACAGGACCGGTGGGGACAGAGGAGAGCCCTGGTGGGCTGTGGGGACAGGACCGGGTGGGGACAGAGGAGAGTCCTGGGTGGGCTGTGGGGACAGGACCGGGTGGGACAGAGGAGAGCCCTGGGTGGGCTGTGGGGACAGGACCGGGTGGGGACAGAGGAGAGTCCTGGGTGGGCTGTGGGGACAGGACCGGGTGGGGACAGAGGAGAGTCCTGGGTGGGCTGTGGGGACAGGACTGGGTGGGGACAGAGGAGAGCCGTGGGTGGAGAGGGGGACTTGTGGGGTGAGAGCCCCACTTTCCTGGCTGAGGGTGGACAGGTGACCTCAGCTTCGACAGGTGCCCTGCAGAGGGAATCACCCACACGCACGTTTGAGAACATTTGACTTCTGTGAATGTCGCAGGATGCGGTTTCTCCTGCGCAGTGACAGTCTGACGTAGAATCGCGTCACATGTACATGTCAGGGTCCGTGTTCCTAGCAGTCTGAGGGCGTTGACAGCAGACCCAGAGAGGCCTGAGCTCAGGGTGGCAGCGCTAGAATGCACCCCCTGCTGGCCTGTGGGTCTGCACAGGGGACTGGGGTGGCGGGGTCACCCCCAGGAACATGCACAGATCTGTGCACACACCACTGAGTGTGGCCACCCCCCCCCCCCAGGGCAGGACAGTGCTGCTGCCCTGTCCTCGGTCCACCTGGTCCTTGGACACCTGTGACCAGCACCGTGCAGTGTGCCAGCGCCCCAGGGAATGCCGGGTGTGCACAGCTGGGTCCACAGCCAGCGCAGGGTCCATGGGGCCGTGGATGGACAGAGCGGGAGCCCGTCTCTCCAGGCCCCTCCGAGCCCTGTGCACAGCTGCCTGAGAGGAGGGTCTTCCCTCCGACCAGCAGGTCTGCACCCCCTCCTGCCCCTTCCAGTTGGCCCTGGCAGCATGGACCTGCTGCCCAGGGCTGTGCCCGCTGAGGCAGAGGGATGCATGGGGTGCGGGGCCATCCCCCACCTCGTCCAGAGCCTCACCTCTGGCTGTTCCTCAGAAGACATGCCGGGGTCTGTGGGCGTCCTCTCAGACCCTGCAAGAACGGCTCTGCGGGCAGCCGCGGGCTCCATCCCATGGCAGGGCACAGGTTCAGTGTCTCCACCTCCAGTTCCCTCCCTGAGGGCGCGGCGCCTTCCTCAGCCACCTGGGTTCCACCCTGCTCGCGGGCCCCCATCGTCTGCCCAGCGCCCCGGGCTCAGGGCTGGTAGAGGCCGGACCCGGGACTGCTGCTCCCTCTCCGTAAGGGTTTGGCCGAGTTGCAGTTAGCTGTTCACCAGCTTTCACAGTGCTGACTCAGGGCACTGGATGCTCTTGAATACTGTGGCTCGTGTGCCTTTTCCTCTGTCCCGGCTCTTCCCGCTGTCGTGAGTGGAACAGAATGTCTGAGTGGAAGCCCTCTGGCCTCGTCCCCATGTCGACTGTCCACTCACTCACCTGCGCCAGGGCAGGGGTCCGTCCCCAAGTGGGAGCTCTTCCCAGCGCCCCATCACCACCTACAAACCCGTGTCCTCCCCTGTGGGGAACGTGCTCACGGCCCTTGTGCCCTCTGCAGGCCTGCGGCTGCCCGCTGTACTGGAAGGGGCCGCTCTTCTGCAGCGCCGGGGGAGAGCGCACGGGCTCCGTCTCCGTGCACAAGTTCGTGGCCATGTGGAGAAAGTGAGTCCGGGGGGGACATGGGAAGGGGGTGCGGGGAGGGGGGACGTGGGAAGGGGGGGCGGGGGCACAGGAAGAGGAGGGGGGCCCAGGCATCCCTTCCAGTCATGCTGGGGCCTCTGGTTCATGCACTGCCTGTCGGAGCCCGGCTGGGGCAGGCGGTGTGCACGCCCAGGTGAGGACCCGTGGGCGCCCTCTGTGCCTCCAGGATCCTGCAGACCTGCCACGACGAAGCCACCAAGTTTGTGCACCTGCTCATGAGCCCCGGATGCAACTACCTGGTGCAGGAGGACTTCGTGCCCTTCCTGCAGGTGGGCCATCTGCGGCATGCCCCTCACCCCGCCTGGACCCCACACTCCTCACCCCCTCTGCCACGCACACCCCTCACCCCCTCTGCTGCGCACGCCCCTCACCCCCTCTGGACCCCACACTCCTCACCCCCTCTGCCACGCACACCCCTCACCCCCTCTGCTGCGCACGCCCCTCACCCCCTCTGGACCCCATGCCCCTCACCCCGCCTGGCCCCGCACGCCCCTCACCCCCTCTCTACACAGCACGGCCTCACCTGTCTCGGGTGCAGGTCGGCTGCACAGCACACACAGGCTGGGAGTCTGGCTCCTGCCCTCAGGCGCAGCGTCTCGCAGAGCTGGTTGGGGGACAGGCCTTTCCCTACCGCTTTGACCTGTGGGACGGAGGGAGGACCTCCCTGGGCCTGCGGCTCACTCTCTGCAGCGGGTGGGGGGTCCCAGGACGTGGTCTGCAGAGGGCGCTGACTGCTTCGGTACAGTTCAGGGCATCGTGGACACCCGCAGACAGTCCCCAGGCCCGTGTCTGTGATCCCGGGTGTTCACCAAGTCAGTTCTTGTCCCTGAAACGCCAGAGCTGTTTGGGCAGAAACAATTCCGAGCCCTGGGGTTGTTGTTTCCTGGGTGGTGAGGGTCTCAGGTTCACGTACGTCAGGCGCACGTCCCATGTCCTCGTGTCTGTGTTGAGTGAGCACTGGGAGGAGAGAAGGAGCTGCCCTGTGCCTTCCTGGCCCCCGACGATGGCTTCACATCAGGCCTGTGGGTGCAGCAGTGGCCCGTGGTGTGTGCAGCCCGCAGCCTCAAAGCCGAGGGGCGGGGTTCGGGGCGGAGGCCCTGTGCCCGCTCCTGTGTGCACAGCGGTGTCTTGTGTCCGTGCAGGACGTGGTGAACACCCACCCCGGCCTGGCCTTCCTGAAGGAGGCGTCCGAGTTCCATTCTCGCTACATCACCACCGTGAGTACGGGGCCCTGGCAGTGGGGTGCAGGTGCCCGTCCCCTCTGGCCGTCTTCTCACCTGTTTCCACTGGGGGCTCCTGCGAGCGGGACGAGGGTGGGCACCCCCACACAGCAGGCCCTGGAGAGCCGTCCACAGTCAGTAGCAGTGAGGCAGCAGCAGGGTGTGCCCAGGCCCTGCCTCGCCCTGCTGGGCAGGAACGTGGCCTCGGGCAGCTTCCCCACGGGGGGTGTGGCTGTGGAGGAGCAGACCCCGGCCGCAGTGTTGTGTCTGAGCTCCGGGTGCTGGCACTGCCCGTGCACAGGTCCCGCCGGTCCCGGAGCCCGGTCCTCGGCAGAGCTCAGCCTGGGCAGGACGGCCTCCACCCACAGCCCTCGCCGGGGAGCGCCCCTGCCACCCCAGCCCCTCTGGGCGAGCGTGGCCCCGGTCGCCCCGCGCCGGCCCCGGGCTCTGAGTGCCCACGTGCGGAGCCCAGGTGCCGGGACTGCAGACCCAGCGCTGGGGGCGAACCAGGCGGCAGCGCCACACCCACGCGCTGTGCTCGGGGGGCCCGACGGGCGGGGAGGACAGGACAGGCAGAGCTCGTGGGCGCCCGGTGGGGGTGGTGGCCCCTGGGACCCGCGCTGAGCCCCGGGCACAGGGCCTGTCGGAGGCGGTCCAGCTGCAAACGTGCTGCTCTGGCAGCGAGTCTGCGGCGTCGTTAGCGCACTGTTCTGAACCGCACGCGCTGGGAGCGCCCGCGGCCGCTCAGGACTGCGCCCCCCGGGGCGGCTCAGGTGTGTCCCCGTGGAGCGCAGGCCCCCCTGACCTGCAGGGCGGACCCCGCCCCCCGGTGCTGCCGGGGCCAGACTCCTCCCGGGGCTCCGCCTTCCTGTGGAGCCGGCGGGCGGGCGACGTGGGGTCCCTGCCGCGCCCTCTGCCGGCGAGGTGGGGCCCCCATCCCGGCCGGGCTCGCTGACCGCCGGCGCCCCCACAGGTCATCCAGAGGATCTTCTACTCGGTGAACAGGTCCTGGTCCGGGCGGATCACGTGCGCAGAGCTGCGGAGGAGCACCTTCCTGCAGGTGCCCACGGTCCCTCCTTGTCCGTCTGTCCGTCCGTGTGTCCGCCCGTCCTTCCCCGGGGCGGGAGGCCCAGCCTGCGGAAACGGGCGTGGGCCCCGCACACACTGACTGCAGCAGGGTGGATGAGGACGGGCCACCTGCCCATCGGGCCCGGCTGGGCGGCATTCCCGCCGGTGGGCGTGGGTGGTGGGCGGCGGCCCGAGCCCCTCCGAGCCCTGCGATCCCGGGGGATTCTGGGGTCCCCCGCAGGGAGGGCTGTTCCCCCGGCAACCGCAGTGGTCTCTCGGGTCTGTTTGGCAGAACGTGGCGCTGCTGGAGGAGGAGGCGGACATCAACCAGCTGACAGAGTACTTCTCCTACGAGCACTTCTACGTCATCTACTGCAAGTTCTGGGAGCTGGACACAGACCACGACCTCCTCATCGACCAGCAGGACCTGGCCCGGCACAACGACCACGGTGAGCTCGGGCCGTGCCCCGCAGGGATGGCAGCAGGCAGGTCTCGGTCAGCATCCCGTTCTCCAGGAGCCGCTGGGTCGCTTCCCCACAGGTCTCCTTGGCGGTCCCTGGGGGCTCAGGGCCCCGCCTGCCCATCACATCGATGCCCGTCTGCCCAGGAGCCCTGGCTGGCAAAGTCCCACAGGGCCCCCTGCGTCCCTGACCCCGCGAGGGCCCTGCCCCTCCTGTGCGGCCACGGACACGGCTTCTTTCCACGTTCTGCGTTTTCAGCTGGTCCCTGGCGCAGTTCTGATGGGCACAGACGGGGCCCAAACACCAGGGAACTGTGCTCTTTCTTCTGGACTCAAGTCCAAATTGAGGGGACGGTGAAGGATTGTCTGCAAGGAGGGGTGCGGAGGGGAGAGCACAGTGCTGACACAGGAGCCCACGGGGTTCAGGGTCCCCCGTCCTGGAGACCAGGCATCCGCAGCCATTGTAGATAGCAGTGATGGCTGTCTGAGGACAATAGGAACTCATCCTGTCTCCGTCCTGGACACCAGAGGTCTGAGATCAGCTGTCCAGGGCCGCACTCCCTCCGAGGCTCCAGGAGGGTCCTTCCGGCCTCTTCCGACTCCTGGGCTCCAGGCGTCCCTGGGCGGGGGGCCCGTCTCTCCTCCGTCCCCACGGGGCTTCTCCTCTGTGTCTGCGTCTCCTCTTCTGTCTCTTCCAAGGACCTGTCATTGGACGGAGGCCCCCCTGACCCAGGACGGCCTCCGCTCAGGTCCTTCACGGACCCCGTCGGCAGAGACCCCGTTTCCATATAAGGTCCCTGCACAGGTTCTGAGGCTCAGGATGCAGACACACACGTTTTTCTAAAACAGAAGCTTGTACCACCATCCAGCCATTGTCGGCAGCAGTGACTGTCACTGAGGCAGGGTGATCGGGGGCGGGGAGACTGTCTTCACTTCTGGTCTCACGGCCTCGTGCCGCTAGGGACTGACCTTGTCCTGCAGAATTCGCATGTTGCAGCGCTGACTGCAGGTCCCCAGAATGTCCCTGTAGAGTCAGGGAACAAGGTCACTGGGGTGGCCCCGATCCCATAGGACTGAGGTCCTCATAAGAAAAGATGACACAGATCACATAGAGGGACGACCTTGTGAGGACACAGAGCAGACGGCCAAGGAGAGAGGCCTCTGGAGGAACCAGCCTGCACACACCTGGGTCCTGGGCATCCAGCCTCCAGCACGGGGACACATGTCTCCTGTTGGACCCGCCCTCGGGGCCCTTGGTCTTCACAGCCCAGCAGTCCCGGGTGCTGTCCCTGCTGCTGCTGGTCAGAGGGATGTGCTGGGAGCCGGGTCCCTGAGGGCGTGACCACACACCTGCCGGCTCCGCCTGCTCTGCATGGGCCCTGGGTCCGAGCCACTCCTGCCCCAGAGCGGGCTCAGCCCCTGGCACTAGAGCGCGTGAGGCTGAGGGCGCGTGGGAGGGACGGTGGTGCATGGCTCTGCCCACCAGTCTGGGCACTTCAGACCCTGCCCAGCCCGTGAGGGAGCGGCCGGCACTCAACCCCGTCTCCCTGCAGCGATCTCCACCAAGATGATCGAGAGGATCTTCTCAGGAGCCGTGACCCGGTACGTCCCGTGAGCGCGTCTCCCCCAGTGACCGTGGCTGCATCTGTGAGAGCCCAGGTCAGCCAGTCCCCTCTGAGGGGCTGTTCTGACAGTCATGCCCATACCCAGGGACGTGCCTGTCACCTGAGGTCAGGGACACACCTGCCCTGGGAGAGCACGGGTGAGGGGGACATACCCCTGTCCCACGAGGGTGTGGGTACAGGGGGGTGTGGGTACAGGGGTGTGGGTACAGAAGGGCGTGGGTACAGACCCCTGGCAGTGCCCGTGTCAGGCCCTGGGCTCTGAGGGGCTGTCACCGAGGCCTCAGAAGTCGCTGCTCCTACCTGGTCCCAGGGTTGCCTCCTCCAGTCGCAGGATCCCGGGCCCCTCACCCCTGGGGCAGATCCAGGGCTCCGCTCGTTGGGGGCCAGGGGCCCCACCTGAGGCTGCAGCTCACAGGGTCTGGTCTCTGCCCTGAACCCAGAGGGAGAAAAGCGCAGCAGGGAGGAAAGATAAGCTACGCTGACTTCGTGTGGTTTCTGATCTCCGAGGAAGACAAGACCACCCCGACCAGGTCCGTGTGCTGCGTGCTCCTCCCGTGGTGGGTGTTGGGTGGTGGCAGCCAAGGCTGCGTCCCTGCTGGGGAAGCCAGTCCCAGGAGGGTGGGGCCCGTCCTGGGCAGGCAGGCTGACCTAGGCCCTGTGCCCGCGGTGCCGGCAGCATCGAGTACTGGTTCCGCTGCATGGACCTGGACGGGGACGGGGCGCTGTCCATGTTTGAGCTGGAGTACTTCTACGAGGAGCAGTGCCGCCGGCTGGACTGCATGGCCATCGAGGCCCTGCCCTTCGAGGACTGTCTGTGCCAGATGCTGGACCTGGTCAAGCCCCAGAGCGAAGGTGATGCGTGCAAGGGAGGCCCCGCTGGGGGAGGCGCTCCCGTGGGAGGCCGTGGAGAAGGCCCTCCACTCGAGTGGTGCCCAGGGTGAGCAGGGCCGCAGGACGGGCCCATGTCCCTGGGGACCGTGCCCAGGGCAGCACTTGTGCCCCCGGTTCTGTGGGGGCCGTCACAGCGTCCCCCACCATGGGGCTTCCCGTTCCTTCTTGCCCCCCTCCACGGAGTAGATCCTGTCCTGCAGATCAGCACAGGGTCAGGCAGCCGCTGTCCCAGCCCCTGTGGGTGATGCCCTGCGTCCCCAAGTAGCTGGAGCCCAGGCCCTGTGCCAGGACCCCCAGGTCAACCAGGGTGTTCTGACACCCCTCACCTGAGGTTCCTCCAGGAGGTGGTTGGTGGTGGGGGCAGGGCAGGAACAGAGGGACAGGGTCTCCAAACTGGACGCTTGTTCATGTGCTGTCTGGTGCTGAATCCAGGGCACTGGACCTGAAGCGTCCTGGGACCCTGCCCTGCCCCTCCCCCGCCCCCATTCCCTCCAGCTCCCCTGCAGCTCAGAGGATGTGCGCACAGTGCCCCCTGGTGGCCAGAACCTGTTCCTGTTCTTGTTCTGTCCCTGCCCTGGTCTGGTTCCCCGCTGCCCTGGCCGTTGTGTCCCGGTTGGAGGGATCGCAGGGCTCCGCTGTGTCCCCAACACTAACCCCGACCAGGTCCTGGGCAGCTCCTGCAGCGCGCCCAGCTCCCTCCGCCTGGCTGCGGGCGATGCCGGCGCACCCCTTGCAGGCCCCGCGAGCGCTGGGCCCTGACGGCCCCTCCCGCGCCCCCTCCCCCGCAGGGAAGATCACGCTTCGCGACCTCAAGAGGTGCAGGCTGGCCGGCGTCTTCTTCGACACCTTCTTCAACATCGAGAAGTACCTGGACCACGAGCAGAAGGAGCAGGCGTCCCTGCTCAGGGTAAGGGCCGGAGCTTGCGGCCCGTCCGCCGCCGGCCCGTCCGCCCTGTGACACGGTGTCCTCCGCAGGAGACGGAGACCGAAGGCCCCGAGCTGTCGGACTGGGAGAAGTACGCGGCGGAGGAGTACGACATCCTGGTGGCCGAGGAGGCTGCGGGCGAGCCCTGGGATGACGGGTGAGGGGGCTGAGAGGGCGGTCAGTGGCCTGGTGGCAGGAAGTGGGGCGTCGCACGGCGGGAGGAGGGTGCGTGGGGACGAGGCGGGCACAGGACGAGCACGCGGGGTGGCGGGAGCTCCGCCCATTCGCTGCGCGGAGGGTCCCTGGGGCAGGGAGTCCCGTTCCTCCCGGGCAGCGGCCTGTGGGCGGCCGTCCTGCTTCCAGGGGGCGGTGTCCTGAGGCCGCCGGCACAACGTCCACACGCTCTCCGTGGGTGTCGGTCTTCACGCCGGCACGGTCCCGGGACGGGCTCCCGTGGGCACGGGTCCTGGCACCGGTTCTCGGCCCAGGGCGGGCGGCCCAGGGCGCGTCCGCAGGCGCAGGTCTGGTTCCCCGCTGCCCTGGCCGTTGTGTCCCTGCGACCGTGCCCAGCGCCCCGCACGTCTGAGGTCCTCTGCCTTCCCCTCGCCATCGCGTCCTCCCTGACCGCTGAGCCTCGAGGCTTCTCTTTCTGGACACGAGACCTGGTCGGATGTGTGGCCCCCTCACCGCGCCCGTGTCCTCGTCACAGGCGCGTGTGGCCCGTGGCCTCGCGCTCACCGCGGCTCTCCTGCAGGTACGAGGCGGAGCTCAGCCCTGTGGACCAGAAGCTGGGTGCCCTGCGGACGCCCCTGGCCCAGAGGCCCTTCTTCGACACGCCGTCTGCCCTGGGCGCCGTCCACCTGTACGACTACGACTGCAGTGAGGGCGAGCTGCAGCCCTCCTGACCGCACCCGGGGCTGTCCCTGCGGCCCGAGGCGGCCGTTCTGCGCAAAACCAAACCACATGCGATGTTTGGATGGCTGGGCTTTTACGGAACAGGACCTGCGCCTGCCTGGATCACAGTCCTGTTCCTTCTCCGGGAAGCTGGTGGGAGGCCCCGGGGAGGTGGGCGGGGCTCCTGCGCACCCCCCACCCTCAGCCCTTCCGCTTCCCAGGGGAGGTGTGTGGACACACCGGGAGGGAGCCGGTTTCTGCCCCGGAAGGTCTGCGGGTCCTGGACCTGCGCTGCCTGCGTGTCCAGGCTGCCTGGGCGCCCCCGGGGCTGCACCTCCTGGCCTCACGCGCCGGGCAGGGCCGGGGCTGCCCCTGCAGGTGCCTGTGGGACCGCCGCCTCCTAGATGTAAAAAATGTGTAAAGTTAACTTTTATTTGCTGTGTAGAGCGGTTGTAAAACGTTTTAAGAAATCACATTTGTATTTTCAAATAAATAACTTGAGGGTTTTCAGCCTCTGCTCTCCCAGCCAGTAGCCCCCAGAGCAGGCTCGCGGCCCCCAGCACAGGTCCCGGCACCAGACGGTGCTTTCTGACGTCTCTGGGTCTGGGAGTGTGCGGACCGGCGCTCCTGACACGCTGGGTGTTCGGTCACAAGGCCTGGGACTGGGGACCCAGGGACAGGATGGCCCGGTGACAGCCCTGTGCCCGGTGGGGCTTTGGCTGTCGGGGTCCTTCATCCTCGAGTCCCGCCCTCGCTGGGCTCCCCTCCTCTGGGCAAACGTCGAAACCCACGCTGTCCGCCTCCTCAGTGGCCCTGAGCACGGTGCTCAGAGCCTCCCTCCCCCTTGTCCACCCTCCCTGCTTCCTGGCCTCTGTCCCCCAACACCCTGCACACCAGGTGTAGACGCCACCCCTCGGGAACAGGAGACCACCTGCAGCCCCCGGCCGGGCTCTGTCACCTGCATGGTGTCCCGCAAAGCACACGTCACGAGCTGCCCGCCCGCTTTGCTGACCTCTGTCCGGCCCCAGCAGCTCCGTGAACACACAGAGGTTTGCCCCAAACCTCTAACAGGCAGGAGATGGCACGAGGCCAGCGGGGTCCATACCCCACTGGGAAAGTTCTTCACGGACCAGCCTCCCGGGCCGCGGGGTCCATGTTTGCTGAGTGGGTGCTCAGGACACCCCACATAGTCGGTGTCTCCAAGCACCTGTCGGCCCCCAATGCCACGTCCCCTGTGGGTTCTGGACTCAGAATCAGCCATCCGGTCCTTGGGTCCCGCCTGACAGGGTGCAGGCCAGCAGCCCCCCTACAGATGCAAAGTCCCAGCAAGCGCACAGGCCCGGGGCTGGGGGAGGACAGGAGGCAGTGTGACCGGATGAGAAGGTGCCAGTGGTGCCCGAGGGTGGCCATCCCCTCGGACACACGAAGGGAACACTACACACTTGTTATTACAATTAAAAGAGAGATTTTTGCACTGGCTGGTGTAGCTCAGCAGTTAGACTGTCAGCCCTTCCCTTGGACCAGAGTCCTGGGTTCGGTTCCCGCTCAGGGCACGTACCTCGATTGCAGTTTGTCCCCAGCACCAGTTGGGATTGTGCAAGGGGCAACCACTCCATGTGTGTCTCTAACATTGATGTTTCTCTCTCTCCCTCTCTCCCTTCTTCTCTATCTGAAGATAAACGCAAAAATGTCCTCGGCTGAGAATTAAAAAAATAAGATTTTAGAAATGACGTCTCGCTCATGGAGCTTCCATTTTGACCCCCCTTTGTCACGGGTGTGCGGGCTCCTTGCACACATCCTGCAGGCAGCTGTGAGGACGGCTCCCTGTGAGGGGGGCAGGCATCCAATGTTCCATCACATGGTGCATGGGGACCACCCCTCCCATCAGGAGCAGGACACAGAACCCCCACTTCTCAGTGGTCCCCGATCCCATATCATTAGGACAAACCCTAAGGAAGGAGGAAGCACCACACTGGTGGTTCAGACCCCACATTCAGATTTTGGAGCCATCAGAAAGGAACAAGTGCGGACATGGGGTCTCTCCAGGGCATCATACAGACCCAGAGAAACTGGGTGAGACCAATACGACCCCCACAGCCAGTAACCGTCAGGTCACAAGTCCTACTTACCAGGTAACCCCCACTTCAGACCCTGCCACAGGCAAGCTCAGGCCTCTCCTGGGTGCACACTGCTGCGCGGGAGGAGGCCACAGGCCCGCCGCAGCGTCTCCTCCCGAACAGTCCTTCCCGCCCGTCCAGGCGGGAGCAGTCAGTCCATCAGGAAAACCTGCTCCACAACCTGTTTCTGCGTGAATTCGTCAGGATTGTCCAGGAGCCTCACCCGCAGTCTCCACGAGACACCGCCCCCCACGCAGCGGGACGGCGAGCCCTGCAGGGGGTGGTGGGGAAGCAGCCCAAGAATGAGGCAGGAACCCACTGAGGGGTCCAGGGCAGTCACGGTCGCAGGGAGGTGCAGTACCCAGCGGGTGCCCGTGGGGCAGGTCTCCACCTGCCCTCACATCTTATGCCACATGCCATCACCAATCCCCCCACGCCCACCACGTGACCCCCCACCCTGGCGCCTTGCTCCACACTCCCTTAAAATCCGTGTTGTGCCCCCTGCACGTGGCCCGCTATCGGGGAACACCCCCGCTGGTTTCCCTTGTGCCTTGCCCTCCCCCTGAGCTGCAGCCCACCGCCCCCACCCCTCACCCGGCCCTCCATCCCCCCGACCGCCCCCCATACAAGTGCGTGCTCCTGTGCCGCCCTGCTGCGCGCCACACCCTGGTTTCTGGCCCCATGCACCCCTCGCCCAGGGCTCCGTGGCCCCACTTACGCGCTGCCCCTAGCGAAGACCAGGTAACAACACTCAGGTGCACATTACCTTTACCCACACGTCCTCCTTCTCCTCAGGAGGCCCCAGAACTCAAAACACTCACAGTCCCGAGCCCTCTAAGGGGGCTCTCCACAGCTCCCAGGGCTGAGCTGTGCCAGGTTTCTCGGCACGTCTCCAAGGCCCGAACTGCAGTGCACGCCGTGAGGAGAATCTCCACATCGCCACTGTTCAAGTGAGCTAGTAACACCTGCCTCCATTAGACATGAGATGCTACTGCAGGAGCCCTGAGCAGCACCTGGTGAGTCTGCAGCCCTGTGAACACCTGCGGGGCGGGGGTAGCTCCGGACTCTCCCGAGTGGGCGCGTTTATGGGCAAGGAAACCACAGGCCCCAGCATCAGCATCTCCTCCGCCGGTGGGCCTCCTCGCCCGCTGCACGCACCCAGCATAATCTGCTCCTGACTCGCCCTATTCGTGCTGCGTGCATTGGTCTAAATTACCCAGTAGGCCCCGCCGGCAGTCTCCACCAGACACCAGGCCCCACCGGCAGTCTCCACCAGACCCCATCCGCACGGGAAAGGGAGCCCTGCAAGGGAGGCCCAGCAGCAGGTCCAGGACTGAGGCGGAAGGCAGCACGTGCGTCTCATTGGGCAGGCCCTCCACGGGCCACCGCGCCCCAACCCCACCTCCTTGCTGACTGACCCCCAACCCCTATGTGCCACCTAATTTTGCTGCACCTGCTCCCCACCCCGCTTAGGGCACCCCATCCTCCCCCTTCCCTCCCCCCCTAGTCCCCCACGCTCAGCGCTCTCCTAGCCAAGCTTGCCCGGGTCCCCCGCGACCCCCAACCCATGCATGCCTCCAGTGTGGCTTCAATGTTGTCTTCCACTTTAAGAGCCAAAAATAGCAACTCTTCTAATTCTAGTGATTCGTCCATTGTAACTGTGATACAAACTGTAGGCTGTTGTTTATGAAATGCATGAACAGTGACTACAAAAGAGTAACCTCACTACATTGTCACACCTCTAGGTAAACGTATACACCCATTTAATGTAAGGTATTAACTACAAAATACCTTAGTATTAATTCTTTAGTTAACTACAAAATACCGTTGGATCACATTCTGGGCAGCCAATACACACTGCTGCATAGTTATTGAAAGTGTCTTCAGAATACATGTTAAGTGTAAAAATTGTAAAGCAACATTCAGGGTGGGGTAGAACTGGATTTACAGTAGTGAGGACACAGAACTGGGTAGGCTGTATGCCGGTACTGTTCCATTTCATGTAACAGACTGGAGCATGTGTGGATATGGGTGTGTGTGGGGGGAGGTGTCCTGGAATCAATCCCTCGTGGAAACTAAGGACTGCATGCATATTGTGTGTATACACGAAGAACTGGAAGATGTATACCAAAATCTCAAGTTATGTCTGTGTGGTCACACTGTAAGCAATGTTTATTTCCTTCTGTGTTCTTTTTTGCACCTTGTAACTATCTGTCACTTTTTTCCTCAGAGTGCAAAATACAATTTAGATCCCAAGTACCGAGTCAACTCGACCATTACTTCTTTAACAACAAGCCCTCCCAAACCCTGTCAAGACTCCTGTATTTGGAGACAGACCAGGGTTTCACCCTATCTTGGCCAGACCTTCCGAGAAGACCGAAGGAAAGTCAAATTTCGACATGAGGCCCTTGTTGCTGTAAATCCTGTGTGACACAGCCAACCCTTAACTCAATCAGTAACTTCTCACGGTCCAGACCGGTCCAACCCAGGGACTTTGGATACACAGTTCTCCACTAGCATTTTGGAAGTTTTCTCAGTAGAGAGAAGAGAGTTGCCAAAGCCAGACAAGGACTTTGTGGTTTATTCATGGACCTTCACCCACATTCCTGGTGCCTCTGGAACAGCAGGGGGACCAGCCACAGGGTGTCGACCACCAGGACTGACAAATTTAAATTTAAATGTCTAATCTATGGCCTGTCCCATTTGTTCAGACCGGACCTGCTAGTACCCATGAACAAGGCTCCTTTCAATGCCCTACAACACTCCTAGGGCTGAGTGCCCAGCGCCCGTGCGCAGTCCTCCGGGCTCCCTCGTGCTGCGGGAAAAGGGGGACACCGTCTCCCGGGACACGAGACGGGCCGCGGCTCCCTGCACACCTCAAAGGGGAGGTTTGACTGAGAACTGTTCGGGTGAAAACAAGCCCAGCCGTGACAGCCGGGGTTCCTGGGGCCCCTTCAGCCCGCGCATCTGGGATTTGGGCCGCAGGACAGCAGTCGGAACCGGAAGGGCGCTGCTCGCTCCCTCGGCTGCGCGCAGCCGGCTCCGCCACCGTTGCCCGGGACACAGAGCCAACCGGACGGTTCGGGACCGACCAAGGCATCAGACGCCCAAGGCTGAGTCTGGGCCCCGGGGCGCACTTGGGTCCCACCAAGGCTGGATTGGGGACCCCAGGAATGGGATGGGACCCCCCCAAGCCTAGTCTGAAATCTCGGGGCGCACTTGGATTCCAAGCTAGATCTGGGACCCCCAGGGCACAAATGGACCCCAGGACCGACCGACGCCGCGCGGAGGCCGGAGGGGGAGGGCCTGGCCCGGAGCCTGGGTATTTCCCGCCGCGGGTCCGCCGCGAGCCGCCCGCGGAAGAGAATCGCGTCCCGGCCGCCGGCACCGCCAGCCCCGTCTCCCTCGGGAGCGGCCGCACGTCACTCAGGCGGCGGCGAGCACGTGACGCCGCGCGGCCAATGGGGAGTCGGCACGGACGCACGCGCCCCAGAGGCCCCGCGGAGCGCGTTCGGCCGAGCGCGGGATGTGGACCCTGCGGGCCGCCGTCCGCCCGGGGGCCTGGCTCTCTCGCGTGGTTCGCGGCCGCCCGGCTCTGAGGGCCGCGCCGCCGCCGCCCTGCCCCGAGCGCGTGCTCTCCGCCTTCGGCCCCGGGGGTCCGGGGGGCCTGCGGGGGCGAGGGGGCGGGGGCCGGGGGCCGCGAGCCGACGGCCGGGGAAGCGGGGCGGGAGCGGAGGAGGAGGAGGGGCCGGAAGATGCGGAGGCGGAGGCGGAGGAGGAGGAGCTGCTGCGCAGGGAGCCTCTGCTGCCGGCGGGGGCCCAGCGCGTGTGCCTGGTTCACCCTGAGGTCAAGTGGGGACCGGGGAGGCCGCAGCTGACTCGAGGTGACCGGGGTGGGGCGGAGGTGGGGGTGCGAGGGGCGGGGAGCCGAGGGGGCGGGGTTAGAATGGCTTGACTGTGTGGGGCGGGGCCGCCGAGGGCTGATTCTCATAGGCCGTGGAGCCGAGGGGGCGGGGCCTCTGGAGGCTGGACCTCATAGGGCGGGGAGCCATGGGGGCGGGGTTAGAATGGTTTGACTGTGTGGGGCGGGACCTCGGGGGCGGGGCCGCCGAGGGCTGATTTTCATAGGCCGGGGAGCCGAGGGGGCGGGGCCTCTGGAGGCTGGACCTCATAGGGCGGGGAGCCATGGGGGCGGGGTTAGAATGGTTTGACTGTGTGGGGCGGGGCCTCGGGGGGCGGGGCCGCCGAGGGCTGATTCTCATAGGCCGGGGAGTCGAGGGGGCGGGGCCTATGGAGACGACCTCATAGGGCGGGGAGCCGAGGGGGCGGGGTTAGAATGGCTTGACTTGTGGGGCGGGGCTGCCGAGGGCTGATTCTCATAGGCCGGAGAGCTGAGGGGGCGGGGCCTCTGGAGGCTGGACCTCATAGGGCGGGGAGCCATGGGGGCGGGGTTAGAATGGTTTGACCCTGTGGGGCGGCGCCTCTGGAGACTGGACTCCAGGTACCAAAACTGGGTGGATGGTTGAGCTCGGGCTCCCAGCAGGATGCCCGGGGGCTGCCCTAGGAGGCTGGAACTCGTGAGGCTGGGCTCCCAAGAGGGGCTCCCTGTGGGGGCAGGGCTCCGGGGGGCAGGGGCTGGGAGCCTTAACTGAGCCCCCTGCCCACCTGCCCCTGAGGCGGCGGGAAGCGGCGTCACCCAGGCCCCGTGTCTCCCCAAAGCCGAGTGGCAGGTGGCGGAGGCCAGAGCGCTGGTGCACACGCTGGACAGCTGGTCGGTGGTGGAGACGATGGTGGTCCCGACCAAAACGCCTGACAGGAAGCTCGTCTTCGGCAAGGGGACCCTGGAGCAGCTGACCGGTGGGTCCAGGGCGCTGTCCCTTCCCCGCCCTCCCCGGCGGAGCAGTGCGCACAGGTCGGTCCCGGGCGGCCTCACCTGGATCTGAGCCCGGAACCTCCACGCCGGCCTCAGCACCCTCGGGCCCCGGGACACTTGGAGTGGGCGGCCCCCAGCCCTGCACTGCCTCCCGGCTGCCCCCTCTCAACACTGGACGTGGGTCCTGCCAGCGACCCCGCTCTCCTGGGACCCCTGCAGTCCCCACCCCACACTTTATGGGTGCAGGGCTCAGAGCAGCCAGCCGGCACGGGTGCTCACTGCCTGTCTGTCTGCCCCAGGCTTAGGTGCATTCAGTCCCCGTGGGGTCATGTCATGGGGTCAAGTTCCCTCTGCGCGCGTCTGTGAGACCCGCACACCTGAGCACAGACCTCGTCTTCCCCTCGACCCCAGTCCACACCCCAGCTATCCCAAGCACCTCGCTCAGAGTGCGGTGACGGCGCCATGCAAACTGACAGACATCCGTGCAGCGTGGACCCTGACGCGATCTTCTCTCCTTTAGAGAAAATCAGAGGATTGTCGGGAATCACAGCTGTCTTCCTGAATGTGGAGAGGATGTCTGTGCCCACCAAGGTATCGGGGTGCGCTGTGTGATATCCGCCCTCACCGTTGGGGCCTTGGGCTGGCCTCCCAAGGAGGGACAGAGTCCACAGGGTTTCGGGATAGGGTCGGGTGCTCTTCGCCTGAGGTGCAGGGATGGGGCTGGGGTCCCAGCTGGTTTCTCACACGCTGTCCTCTTAGAAAGAACTGGAGGCCGCCTGGGGTGTGCAGGTGTTCGACCGAGTCACTGTGGTCCTGCACATCTTCCGCCGCAACGCCCGGACCAAGGAAGCGCGGCTGCAGGTGGCCCTGGCCGAGCTCCCCCTCCTCAGGTACGGCACAGCGTCTGGTCACGGCGGCCCAGAGCTCCTTTCTCCCTCCTCTGTGCGACTGCCGCTCGGGTGCAGTGACAACCAGCGAGGCTGGCTGTGCCCTCCTTGTAAGTGGAGCCTGTCAGAGCCCTGCTGGGGCTTCTGCCTCTGTGAGGAACGTCACCCAGTGTGGGGCCCGGGTCCCCAACACGGAAGGCCCGTGCAGAAGAGGACCCCTCGCAGGAGGGGACCCCAGTGCATGCATTCTCTCTGTCAGAGGCCCCACCCAGGGTTCTCTCCTCACCCTCATCTAGGACATGTTGAGCCCGCTCCATGCTCCCTGGACAGGCTGGTGCATCTTTTCCCATCCACTGAGCTGTCCTGTTTCCACGACAGGTCCCACATGAAAAACAGCATTGCCCACCCGGATGGACGTGGAGGCAGCTCTCGCTACATCATGGGGTCAGGTAACATGCCCAGGGTCTTGTCACCAGGTACAGGGAAGGGGGGACGTCACAGCAGCCACCTCTGGGAAGGGGACCACATCCCTGAACAGTCCTGGTGGAGCAGGGGCTGTGCATGGGCCTCGTCTCTGGTCACATCAGACAACCTTGGTATCCAGGTGGTCTTGGGTTAGTTGTGAAAGGACCACAGACTCACGGTTAAAACAACAGAAATTCATTCTTTCTCTGTCCTGAACACCAGACATCTGAGACGGGGTGTCCCAGGGCTGTGCTCCCCCTGAGGCTCCAGGGAGGGCCCTTCCGGCCTCTTCCGGCTCCTGGGCTCCAGGTGTCCCTGGGCAGGGGGCCCATCCCTCCTGTCTCTCCTCCGTCCCCACGGGGCTTCTCCTCTGCGTCTGTGTCTCCTCTTCTGTCTCTTCTAAGAACCCCCTCATTGGATGGAGGGCACCCTGACCCAGGACGGCCTCATCTCATATCCTTCATCACACCTGCAAAGACCCTGTTTCCAAAAAAGGTCCCATTAGCAGGTTCTAGGGGTCAGGATAGGAAACATCTTGGGGTTACCACTCAGCCAAGTGGATATCGGGGGTCCTTCCGAGGCTCTTACTTCCTGCCAAGTGAAGGGGAGCTCAGGGGGCCTCAGAGACAGAAGTCGGAGACGAGGCCACCTTTCACTGGGCAGAGCTATGTCAGAACAAGGTGTTGGGGTGGCAGCTGCCTGGGGCCTTGAGCACACCTGTCTGCGTCCCTGCAGGGGCCCCTGTGGCAGCTGGCTTTGCCGGTGCCCTGCCTGCGGCTCACTGACTCCACCCTTGGCTGTTCCAGGAGAATCCTTCAGGCAGATGCAGCAGCGTCTCATGAAAGAAAGGGAGCTGAAGATCCACAGGGCCCTGGAGAGACTGCGGAGGAAGAGGCAGCTCCTGGGGACGCAGCGGAGGCGGCGGGAGGTCCCGGTGGTCTCCATGGTGGGGTACACCAACTGTGGTGAGCGGGGGGTCCTGTGAGGAGTTGGGCCCTGCCCTGTGCGGCACCGGTGTCTTTTAGGGGAACCGGCCTTCAGAAATGACAGGGGTGTGGTGGTCACAGGCGCTGTGTGACGGGGAGCAGACTGCAATGGTGACCCCAGTGTCCCGGGCTTCTCAGGCCCACAGCGGTGCTCACGTTAGTAGTGTGTGCAACACTGGACACTGGGCTGGTCGCCCTCGTTACGGATGTTTCCAAACTCTGGACAACAAAAGACACGTGAAAGCGGACAGGCTTTCAGAGGGCAGAGGGGCGCCCAGGCGGTGCGCAGGGGGGCGTCGTGCGCGCTGGGGCATCGGTGCGCAGTGAAGGTCCTGTGAGCGCGCTGGGGAGACCTGTCAGAGCCGCGCTCCGGCTTCCTGTGCGGCCCGAGCTCTGCAGTCACAGGCACCTGAGGTAGATGAGACGCGCCCCAGCTCACGTCTTCACCTCCGCTGTTCCCTCGACAAGCATGTGCAGAGGCCTGGGAGGGCAGCCCTCTCCCTGTGACGCGACCAGCGCCCTGTTCACGGGGAGCCCTGGTCTGGGACCAGGAGAGGGTAACTCTTCTAAAAACCTGCCCCAGAATGCTATGGTTGCCCCGCCGGTGAGGCTCAGTGGTTGAGCATCGACCCATGGATTAGGAGGTCACCAGTTCGATTCCCGGTCAGGGCACATGCCCAGTTGTGGGCCTGATCGTGAGTGGGGGGCGTGCAGGAAGGAGGCAGCGATTGATGTTCTCTCTTGTCCATGTTTCCATCTCCCTCTCCTCCCTTCCCCTCTCTCTAACATCAATAAAGAAAAAAAAATGATTTTTTAAAAAAAACTGAAAGAAAAAAAAAGGTATGGGTATGTCCAGGCTTAAAAACTCATAAGTATATCACCTTGGCTGGCTTGGCTCAGTGGTCAGAGTTTCCCCGGTTTGATTCTTGGTCAAGGGCAGGTACCTGGGTTGCAGGTTAGATCGCTGGCCCTGGCTGGGGTCATGCAGGAGGCAACCAGTCAATGGGTCTGTCTCACATCGATGTTTCTCTCTCCCCGTGTCCCTCCCTTCCACTCTAAAAACCAGTGTGAAAATACCTTTGAGTGAGGATTTAAAAAGGAATTATAAGTATACATGTCTGAGTGTCCACCTTCCAGGACGTGCAAATGCTCGTGAGCAGCTGGGCCCTTCTTCCAGAGGAGGTGCGGGGACCTTCCTGAGTGGGTGTCCTTGTTCCCAACACGCAGGGAAAACCACGCTGATCAAGGCTCTCACGGGAGACGCCGCCATGCAGCCCCGGGACCAGCTGTTTGCAACGCTGGACATCACAGCCCACGCGGGGCCACTGCCGTCCGGCATGACTGTCGTGTACATGGACACCATTGGCTTCCTGTCCCAGCTGCCCCACAGCCTGATCGAGTCCTTCTCCGCCACCCTGGTGGACGTGGCCCACTCAGTGAGCTTGGGGCGATTGGGTCCAGGTCCCCTGAAACACAGCACAGTGGAAACCGGGTACCCCACATAGGACTGCACGTCCGGCTTGGTGTTCCAGGACAGTAAGGCTCGAGAGGGGAGGATCCGCGCAATGTGAACCATGTCGGGGCTTAGTGTCCACAGCGTCCCGAGGGGCCCAGGCTGTGACCACCCCAACACCGCAGGTCAGCAGGACAGTGGGCTTAGTGTCCACAGCGTCCCGAGGGGCCCAGGCTGTGACCACCCCAACACCACAGGTCAGCAGGACAGTGGGCTTAGTGTCCACAGCGTCCCGAGGGGCCCAGGCTGTGACCACCCCAACACCGCAGGTCAGCAAGACTGGCTCAGGCCACGTGCGACTGCCGTGCTTTCGCAAGTTCTCTCAAAATCCAAACTGTTTGGAAAGAAAACTCTGAATATAAGTCCCCTGCCCCTGTAAAGAGCCCAGAAGTGAATACCCCAAATAGCAATGGTACCTTTTACATTGGGGTTTTTTTCCTCCTTTTCTGCATTTTCCAAATTTCACATAATGAACCAGCCCGTGCAATCTTTAAAATTAGGCAAAAAGCAATCTTTAAAATGTAAAAGTGGACGCTGTAAAGGTCTCAGCACAAGACAAAACAGCCCGAGGTGACTGAGGCCCCTGCTGGGTGCTCGGCCAGCATCTGTGGGCCGGCGATGGGGACAGGCCGAGCAGCCCCCAGTCCCACGACCAGGAGCGGCCGGGACAGGACCCGAGTGACGGGCCATGTCCACTGGGACCAGCTCTGGTCTCGTGAGGTCCCGCCCCCGGGTCCCACCTGGCCTGGGGACAGCGTGGGGCAGCTCCCACCGTCGCCCATCCTGGCCCCGGGCGGGTCGTCATGGGGGTGGAGACTGGTGTCCCCGCATCCTGGTCACGTCGCCCTCTGGCCCTCAGGACTTGATCGTCCACGTGCGGGACCTCAGCCACCCTGAGACGGAGCTGCAGAAGGCCAGCGTGCTGTCCGCCCTGCAGAGCCTGCGCCTTCCCACCCCGCTCCTGGACTCCATGCTGGAGGTGCACAACAAGGTGGACCTGGTACCTGGGTAAGCCTGATCCCGGGCCCCACCCCACCATGCCCCGGGGCATTCCTGTGGGGGCTCAGGGCCGTCTAGTGGTCAGTGTGCTGCCCCTGGTGCCGACCAGGCCATGTCCCACAGCAGCCCCGCCTGCTCGGGAGGGAGGGGTCAGAGCACCCTGCACAGGAGGGAGGGGGTCGGAGCTGCCTTCTGTCAGCAACCACCAGTAGGCCCCGAGCAGCAAGCCTGGGGTGATGTGTTCTGCCCCCTGCAGGCCCATGTTTCACCCCAGCCTCTCTGGTCTAACCCTGTCCCTTCATCTACCCGTGTGGTGGGGCCCTGTCCTCTCTGGGGACGGACTGAAGTGCTCACAGTGGGGCCCGTGGGCAGGGGATGCACTGGGAGCCTGGCTCGGTCTCCTTGACTGGGCCAGGTCTGCGCCCCACACAGGTACAGCCCCTCGGAGCCACGCGCCCTCGCCGTGTCCGCCCTGCTGGGCCTGGGCCTGGACGAGCTGAAAGCTGAGCTGGAAGATGCAGTTTTGAGAGCGACGGGGCGACAGGTCCTGACCCTGCGGGTCCGGCTGGCAGGGCCGCAGCTGAGGTGCGCCAGGCAGGTGGGCGGGGGAGGCCCAGTGTCTGTGGCCCAGGTGCAGGCAGCTTGTCCGACGGCTGTGTTGTGAGCAGGGGTACACACCAAGTTAGTCCCTCCAGGTGTTTGTGGCCGCCAAGGGCCCCTCTGGGTGGCCCCCCATGAAAGCAAAGGTCTGAGCACGGGCGGGCCGGCTGGGAAAAGTTACCCTGGGCGTGCGGTGTGGTCCGGCCTGTGTCCCTGAGACGCCCCTCCCCCCAGCTGGCTACACAAGGAGGCCACAGTGCAGGACGTCCACGTGGTCCCTGAGGACAGCGTGGCCCACGTCACCGTCATCATCAGTGACTCCGCCTACGGCAAGTTCCGGAAGCTCTTCCCAGAATGAAGAGAGGCCCGTGGCCCCGGACAGTCCTCAGCCTGAGAGTGAGGCAGGTCCCGCCTTGGGCTCGGCAGGTGGTGCGGCTCTGAGCTCACGGGTCTGTGGCTCCGGCATCTGGGAACTGGTTCCCCTCCTGGATGGTTCCGCCCCAGGACGTCACACCCCAGTTATGCCCGTGGCACAGCGTGTGTCCAAACGAACTGGAACTTCTGGTGTTTCCACGAGCACAAAGTCACATCTTGGAGCCAGACTAAGGGACGTGGCCGCACCAAATGCTGAGAGGCCCCGAGACGGCGTCCTTGCCACAGAACGGCCGAGGTCCTCAGCTTCCGGACTCGCCTCCTTCCCAGGGAAACCAGAGCTGAGCACGTCTAACAATGTGCTGGGGGTGGGGACTCTCCTTTTTGTCACCCAGACAGTCCTTCGTGACTTTCTTCCTGACACTCACATTCAACGCCGTAGTAGTGTTTCTCAGGTTGCCTGAGAGCCGCACGTCCTGGGATAATAAAGGAGCAATGTCTGCGCCTCTAGTGAGCGTGCAGGAGGCGTGTGCGTGAACTTTCCCCAAAACGGCGGCACACGGGCCTTGTGGGACAGAACAGTCTCCCCAGAGGTGCCCGTGTCCTCACCCGCACAACCTGTACATGTCATCCTAACGGGCAACGGACTTTGCTGACATGATCGAGGCAAGGAGCCCGAGGGGGGCGTGAACTGCATCACCAGCTGTCCCCAAACGTCCTCACAGCTCCTCGCAAAGGGAGGCAGCAAGGTCAGGGTCGGACAGGATGTGAGGACAGAGCCAGGAGTTGAGTCCCAGAAGCTGGGAGCCTGGCTCCTGGCTCCGCGGTGGCAGGAGGGGCCTTACGACACACAGGGGCCCACAGCCTCCAGGGAGCCAGCCCAGGGCCCCGGGCTTCGGCTCGTGCAACCCCCCTCTGAGCCCTGACTGCTCTGAGACAGAGAGTCTGTTGTTTGAAGCCACTGGGGTCATCTGTGCCCCCAGCCCCCGGACAGCTGCAGAGGGGATCCGGGATGGGCAGGAGAGCAGACAGTCCTGAGAGCCGCCGTGTGGCACGGGCCCTGGCTGCTCCCACTGGCCAGTGGTGGAGGGGCCACTGCAGGACAGCCGCCTGCTGTAGGACGATGACCAGGCCAGACCTGCGAGCCTGGGCCACGGCCTGTCTGCCCTTCGCTCGGCCCTGGCGGTAGCTCCTCCGGGGCCTGTGAGCTCCAGGGGCTTGGAGGAGAGCCCCGTGGGCGACGGGCATCGCGCTGGGGCCGTTCCCTCCAGGCTCAGGCTCGGGCCCAGCCCAGTGTGCTTGCAGCCAGCGGCCAGCCAGGGTCACTACTGCTCCCTTGCAGGGATTTCAGCATCCTCAGTCCACCTGCAGGAACCTCCGCTCCGGCCCGGGCTCCGGCTGGGACCTGCGAGGCAGGCCTGGCAGGTCTGATCTGTCCGCCCTTCTCCTTGTACCCTCACTGCCGCGTCCCCGCCCGCTGCCCGCGTCCCCGCCCACTCCCATGTCCCCGCCCACTGCCCGCGTCCCCGCCCACTGCCGCGTCCCCGCCCACTGCCCGCTCCCCACCGTAGGATCAGAAGAGCAGAGCTCAGCCCAGGGTGCCTCAGGCACAGCCGGCCGACTGCGGGGTGCAGACACTACTGCGTGAGCCCAGCAGAGTGGGGCTTCGATGGAGAGGACAAGGAGGGGGTCTCAGGTACCCCAGAGTAAGGGCTGGGTCTCAGAGCCCTGGAGAGAAAGCTGGGGTCTCAGGGTCCCCCAGTGTCAGGGTTCCCACTGGGGACAGGCACAAGGCCACTCCTCACCCCAGATGGGCTTATCCCCTCCTAGTGATGGGGTCCACTGTGCTGGGAGGAGCCCGGGCCCTGAGAACAACCGAGCGGGTGGGAGGGAGCCAGTCGTCGGCTGGGCAGACCAGGGTGCCCCCCAGGGATCCGGCTATTTCGAGAGAGGGAGCCGAGATCTGCAGTGGCCAGGGCTTCATCCCGACTTTTATTCAGTGGTTGCGCAGCGGCAGGAAGATCCTTCTGGAGCAAGGAGTCTCTAACACAAAAGTCTGAAATCTAATGTGTACAGTTAAACACAGAACCTTTGAAGGAAAAAGTGCTGCAACTCTCAAAACGTTGACACCCCCCCCCCCCATAAAAAGAGCAAAGCCCCGGCCAGTTTGGCTCAGCGGTTGCAGCGTCAGCCTGCAGACCAGAGTCCTGGGTTCGGTTCCTGCTAAGGGCCCGTACCAAACAAACAAACAAGGTCACCCAGCCCTTGGGTTGGTAAAGCCCAGAGGACCAGGAGGAAGGAGGCACAATCGGCTTGTTTGAAGCGAGTGCCCAGGTGCAGAAAGAGGTTTCAGTGAAGTGAACCTTTCGAGACCTCCCGCCGACGTCTGGATTGTCAGCAAGGGAGACGCAGGATCAGTCTGAACGAGTGTGCTCCTGTGTCCGCAGTCAAGGGTCCCCGCCAGCCCCAGGAAGCCTGCTGGCCGGGGCGGGGCCGTGGGGAGAAGGGAGCAGATCCTGCTTCCCCGGAATGAGAAGCAGTTGCTTCCTGGCATTTGACAGGATTCGCTCAGTGGTCACCTGCTCAGTCGTCCAGGTGCTGTGACTGGACGGAGGCCTCCGGCAGACCCTGGGAGCCGTCAGGATGTCAGTCTGCACCCCCCAAACCCCCAGGTGAGCACATGCCTCTGCCCATCTGTCGTGGGCAACCCCATACGGCGGCCTCAACCTGGAGGACAGAACCCCAAGTTCCAGGTCACTCGTTCCTTGAAGAGGGACCCCATAAGCACTGTAATCACCAGCATAGTCCCTGAGTTGACCCAGAGGCAGAGAGCAGGGAAGCCAGGTGCTGGGCAGGGAGCTCCCAGGAGGCTGGGGACCTGGCCTGGACGGCCTGAGCCCAGTGTTCTCGCCTGCATGTGCCCAGAGCACATGGGCCAAGAGGGATAAAGGATGAGTCTTGGCACCGCCATGTGCTGAGCTTGAGGCAGGACCTGGTCAGCACCCAAGCAGCTTCTCGTTGAGTCTGATGACGTCGCTGACGAAGGTGTTCACGCCGATGAAGTCCCCGGCGATGATGTTGGTGCAGCAGGGGCCTGGCCCCGGGCACTGGTCCCGAACCCAGGCTGTCAGGTGCGGCAGGCTGGGGAGCGTCATCTTCTTCAGGGACCCGGCCGGGTGCACGAGGATGTACTCCAGGTTCTCCGTCAGGTTGATGCCGGCCACAAACAGTCCGCCTGGAACAGCAGAGAGGCTGGTGTTTCCGCACCCCAGCCCCACCTCAGCCACCAGCTCTGCTCCCCCTGCGGTCAGGGCCTGAGCTTCGGCTCCCCCCTAACATGAGCTCTGACAGCTCAGACTCAAAAAGTGTCAGACTCGTGTGCTCCTGCTGTGGACAGTGCTGGGCTAGCGACCCCAAAGATGTCCAGTGTCCTCACCCCTGTGTGGTGCTCAGAACAGTCTCAGCAATTTGGACCCAAACTGCTCCACCAAAGCATTTCTTCCCACAAAATCAAACCGTCAACCAAGATGGGGGCAAAGGTCAGTATGTCGACCCGGATAAGGGTGGGCTTGCCGCTTATGTGGGAACCAGGGGCTCAGGAGAGCCAGAGGGGAAGCGCACCCAAGTTGGGCACAATGCCTGGCACCCACAAACCTGTCAGCAGTGACAGGTCGGCGCCTGTGGCTGTGTTTTCAAACATACAGGTCACATCGGCTCAGAGGACACGCCGCGTGAATCTACATATGGGCAGCAAGTGTGCACCCAACATGTTCATCATCAGGGTTGATTGTGGCAGGAAGTGGGACCCCAGAAGTATGACAGGAAGTGGAAGACCCAAAGTGGCCACAGGTACAGCCACAGGCCCCTGGCCACGGGTGTAGAACAGTTAAAACCGTGGGCCCCATTAGAAGAGTTTCCTTCCTTCCAGCCAGAGGCTGCGCCTGAGCGAAAACAGCCCTGTCCGTGGGTAAGCTGGGCTGTGCAGCACATGCTCCCGGAAAGTGCTGATTTCCTTGAAGAAAAACAGGCCACTGAGATGAGAGGAGGACCCCGAGGGGAAACGCGGAGGGCTGTGGGCGAGGCCAGCAGGGCAGGGGAACAGGAACCCCACGCCGCTCCTCGCCCAGAGGTACTGCTGACATGCCTGCAGCCACATCCTGTGCACCTCGCCCCGAAACACATGTGTGCACACGGCGTCATGTGCATGTGTGTGCACATAGTGCGCATGTGGACACTCCTGCAGGCTCATCTCTGCACACACACCTGCGTGTTCATCTCTGTGCACACATATGTTTACACATGTCGATGCACTCACACCACCTGCTGCTCTTAAATCCCTTCACATCGATCCCAAGGCACCTGAGCGGCCTGCCTTCCCGTACGGGGTGCGCACCCACCTGGGCGGCCGCAGCTCTTCATGTGCTCCAGGTACTGGATCAGCTTCTCGGGCTTCACCTGGTTCCCCCACCAGTAGGGGACCGCAGGCCACAGCTGCTGGTGCCGGCTCACGGCGCCCTCGTCCTCGTAGGACAGGAGGACCTGCTGGCCCCGCGCCCACAGCTGGCGCATCGTCGGCACTTCCTGCAGGGAAGGGTTATTGGTGACCTGACAGAGCTGGGAGGGGTATCGGGGTGTCTGAGAGGACGGGGGGAGGCATCCGTGTTCATGTTGTGCCATCCGTATTGTCACGAGGACACGGACACCCTCCTGTCACTGCAGCCTGGCCCCACATGGTCAGTGGTCAAGACGAGGGTCAGCAGGAGTCAGCATTTCACGTGACGGGACTGCAGCTGTCCCTCCAGCGGGAAGAGTCCGCACCTCCCTGCTCCTCCCCACTGTGCCGTCCCCACTGTGACTGGGGACGGCTGCGCACCCCAGGGCAGCCTCTCCCCCAGGGGCCCTCGGGGGCCTGAGTGGCTGGGGTCCCCAGGCTCATAGCAGCACCATCTCGGTTCAGCCCAAACCTGCCAGGGCTGTGCTCTCTGCGTCCCTACCGGCTGTCACTGGAGAAATGCCAAACAGAAGACTTGAATCGATGCAGGACAACCTAAAAACAGTCCTGGATTTAACTCTTTAGGCTCCCTAGACATGAAGGCCTGGCACCGGCCAGCCACCACCAGCAAACAGACAAAGTTACCTACTTAACTAAACCAAAAAGTGGGGTTACGGACTGAACTGTGCCCTCAAAACTCACGTGTTCAAGTCCTAACCCCAGGTACCTCAGAATGGTGTTTATCTGGTGATGTATTTGGGGCTGTAAAGAGGTGATTAAGGTAAAATGTGGTCAGTAGTGTGGGTCCTGATCCAGTAGGGCTGGGGTCCATATAAGAGACTAGGATGCAGACGGGGGTGACCATGTGAGGACACAGAAAGAAGACAGCTGTCTACACACCAAGGAGAAAGGCCTCAAGAGGGCCCAGCCTGCGACACCTGGGTCCAGCCTCCAGGCCTGGGAGAGAAGAAGTCTTGGTGTGTCCGAGCCCCCCAGAGTGTGTCGCTGCTTTGGCAGCCCGGGAGACAGAGAGACATCGCCGTATTCATAGGGTGTCACATGCTGGGCGTCTTGTGAACAGGCGCTAAGTTTGACTCGAGCTCGAGAGAAGCATCGGCGCCTGTGTTAGTGGCTTCGCCAGCACCAGGATCGTCTCAGCATCACCGCTGGGATCCTTGCCAAGCAGATGGAGCCTGTGCTCTGACCCCCACCCCCCCCCCTCCCAGGAGACATGTAGACAGGCCCTGCCCGTCTCACCCCTCGGGGACACAGCATGTCCCCAAAGATGTTCTTGATGCAGGTGACCAGGTACTCGTGCAGCGCGTCTGTCATCCCCTCGAAGTTCCTGCAGGCCAGGATGACCACCTCCCGGGGGTGGTTCTCCAGCCACTCTGAGATTTCCGTGAGTGTGTCCTGGTCCGGGGAGAGGGGGAGGATTGCAGAGTCAGACCCGGCCCAGGGAGACCAGGATGCTCCCGCCGTCAAAGGGGCTTCCCAGTCCCACTCACTCGACAAATGGGTCATGTCACAAACAAACACATACGGAAACCACCCTGACCCAGCTCCCAAAGTGACAGCTGGGCCCACATGCCATTGCTCTGGGAGAAGCATGTGCATGTGTGTGCATGTGTGCACGTGCGTGTAGAGTGCATGTGTCCGTGCACAGGTGTGTGCAGTGTGCACATGTGTATGCAGTGTGCCTCTGTGTGTATGCAATGTGCCCGTGTACATGTGTGTGCACAGTGTAACAATGTATGTGTGTGTGCTCTCCAGACACAGGACACTGTGTGTGCAAATGTTCGCTCTGGAAGCTCCAGGGAGAGTACAGTGGCCCTCAGGTGACCTGCAAAGTGAGGTCACCGGGATGGCACCACCAAACCCCGAGGGGCTGCAGTGGTCACAGGGTGCAGAGGGGAGCTGGGAAACAGACGGGCACCGTCCTAGTCTGACTTTAGGAACGAGTGTCTAGCCGCTGAGAGGAGAATGGACTGAAAACTTCAGAAGTGGAGGCAGGAAGACAGCAGGGACCCAGCTTTGTCCAACCCTGAACAGCCCCCGAGGCCCCAGGCATGGTGGGAGATGAGCTCAGAAACAGGATGGTCAGCAAGTCCACAGTTGCTGGAGGTCGGCCGTATCCTGCCCAGACAGCCGAGAACGTGCCCCCCGAGGTCAGCCGTCCCACCTGGAATGGCCGTGGTGCCATTACTGCTGGAGGCCTCACCAGCCGCCGGCGCCTCCCCCGCCTACCTCCACCAGCAGGGCCGTGCACAGCATGTGGACGAAGTGCAGGTTCCTCTCGGAGCCCTCCTGCATGTGGGCGATCCGCAGGTCCAGGTACCGCACCCCGGCGTCCAGCTGCTCCGTGACGCTCAGCACCTGCAGATGCAGGGGTCGCCTCTGCTTCGGCACAGGTGTCTCCCGTCTCGGCTCAGACGCCCGAGTCAGCAGCGCATCATCCCGTGTCAGACCCTAGCAGTTGGGACCCGCCAGGCTGGGGCAGCCACATGGACCTGGCGTGTGGGACCCACACACTGGCCAGTGGAGCCACAGATCATATCAGAGGTGGGGACCCCCTGGGAAGCCGCTAGGCTGGCACCCGCACTGCGTTGACTTGGCTGTGACTGTGGACCTGGATACCTGGTCCTGCCGCCTTCCCAGGCAGTCATTGGAAGGACCCCCACCCTCCTGGACACCCCCCTGGACCCTTGGAGGTCAGAGCTGCCCAGCAAGGTCAATGCAAGGGCACTGTCCACCCACACATCGCTCTAGGAAAGGAAACAGAGAGGAAAGTTCCAACAGGGCTCTGAGCCTGCACAGGAACGGGGAGAAGAAGGGGTTCAGGAGGAAGACAGAGCTGTGCCGAGCCCAGAGCAGTGACAGGAGTCTCAGAAAGACGGGAGGTGGGGATCTCAGTGGTGCCTTGTCTCTTCTCCAAGGAGTAACAGGAAAAGTGGACCAGCCGCTGTGGCTCAGTGGACCGAGCATCGTCCTACAAACTGAGCGGTCCGGGTTCGAATCCTGGCCAGGACACAGGCCCAGCTTGTGGGCTCGATCCCCGGGGGGATGGGGGGCTGCAGGAGGCGGACAATACATGTTTGCCTGTCACACCGATGTTTCTATCTGTCTCTCCCTTCTCCCTAAAAAGCCAGTACAAGCACTTGAAAAGTGAGAAGTAATAACATACAAAATGAAAGAACATGGTATGATGCTCCCTGTAGAAAATAATGGGAAAAGCAAAAAATGAAATAAAATAAAAATAAAGGAAAGGAACCAGGGACTGTGGTCCCTATACAAAATGAAACACAGTAGACAATGCGAACAATGACAAGTTAAAGCGCGCTGTGCTCTCCACACCAAGTGACGACGGAACCGGAGGATGAGCGGAAATGGTCTGCGCCCCGGGGGCCCTGCGGGGGCGGGGCTCGTCCTGCAGGCCGCCAGCAGGTGGGCAGAGGTGCTCAGGGCAGGTGTCACCACGGTCTCTGACCCTCAGCCCCACAGCCGCTCACACCCTGGGAGGGCAAGTCAGCAACCCCAGGGGCACCGAGGGGCCGAGTGCCGTGCGTGTAAAGAGGACACGGAAATGTTCTCGGACCCCTGGCCGGGCTGACCCTGCTGGGCCCTCCAGGAGCACCGCTGCGGCCGCTGCCGGCTGCGCACAGACGCAGAGACCCTCCCTCCCCTGCGCGTGTGCGGGCGGCAGTACGCGCAGCAACGTCTCGCGACGCAGGTATTTCCCAGAAAACTCGCCTTCGGGGTCTCGTCCCCCAGCCGGACGCACCTGCGCTACAGCCCTGAGGACCACCCCACAGCCCGTGGTCACTTCTGCCGCCTCCCCGGAGGCTTCCAGCCCTGTCGGCAGCTCCCCCACCCCCGAGGCTGCGGCCCCGGTGACTGTTTGGAGGCTCCGTCGGTAAGTAGGAATGTGGGATCCCAGCATTCCGCTCAGGCACTGTGCCCCCGCAGGTGTGACAGACTTGGAGCAGAGCCTTTGCCAGGGACGGAGTCGGAGTCGGGGCGGGGTGTCGGTTGCCCGGCAACCAATCGAGCGTGTAGGGAGGGAGCCCCAAAGCAGGCCGGCCCGGCCCTCAGCGGAGCAGAGCGCTGGGCGCCGTCACGTGCGCCCCAGGCCGGGGCCACCGCAGCTGGACGCCCCCAGCGCAGCTTGCACCACCGGACACTCCGGGGCCCTTCCTCCGCGCCGCCCACAGGGACCGCCAGTCCCTCCGCCTCCAGGTCCTACACGGGGGAGGGGCTGCGGGAGACGCACGGACCGCGGCGACAACAAAGGCCACAATTAATTGTTTCTGCGGAAAATACGCAGGAGACACCCTCTCGCCGCCTCCCTCGAGCGCGGACTCGAGAAAACCTGCGAGAGGGGTGCTTCCGTTTTCCGCGTGTGCATCTGCTGAGCAAGCTGCTGGGCGGTCCCCCAGCCCCGAGGGCTTCCTGAACGTGGGACGGAACCCGCCTGGCCCCGTCCGGGCACCTCCCAGGGAACGCGACTCCCTGCAGGTCCCGGGAGGCCGGAGTCTCCGCTCAGCTGCGGGGAGGTCCCGCGCCTCTGGGCTCTGACGCCCCGAGTGGCTCCTGCACGCGACCCCCACTCTGGGTGGGAGCCGATTCTGTGACAAACCGTCTTCTTTGCCCCCTACCTCTGTGGGGAGGGCTCTGGGTTGGTGGGAGCTTTGTTTTCAGTTATTTTCCCGAAGGCTGAGGGCGCCGGCCCAGGTAGGGTGCTGGTGCTCAGCATCCAGCCCGGAGCCCGAGGACGCTCACCTGGGTGACGGACCACTTGAGCACGGCGGGCACCGTGACACACGGCAGGACCTTGGCCAGAAGCTGCAGCAGCCGCGACTCGGTGTTGCAAATGGGGGATTTCTTGTTCAGGCCGTAGGTCATCGTGTCGTGGCTGCCTGGAATCAAACCCCGGACAAAGCCACCGTGAGTCCCCCCTCCGCGGTGTGCTCGGAGCTCTGTACGGAGCTCCGACAGGGAGCAGGTGGAAGACCGAGAAGAGCAGGCCCAGAACACACGCCCAGGCCAGGCAGGCAGTGGCCCCAAATCCATGTCCCAAAGCCTGCTGATGGGACCTGTGTGGCAATAGGTCTTTGCAGACGGGGTCCGTGAAGGACCTGAGCGGAGGCCGTCCTGGGTCAGGGGGGCCTCCGTCCAATGACAGGTCCTTGTAGGAGACAGAAGAGGAGACACAGACAGAGTGGAGAAGCCCCGTGGAGACAGAGGAGAGACGGGAGGGACGGGCCCCCTCGCCCAGGGATGCCTGGAGCCCAGGAGCCGGAAGAGGCCGGAAGGAACCTCGGAGGGAGCATGGCCCTGGGACACCCCACCTCAGACCTCTGGTCTCCAGGAAGGAGTGGGGGTAGGAAATGAATTCCTGTGGTTTAAGAATTCTGATTTGTGGTATTTTGTTATAGTGGCCACTGGAAACTCATATAACTGATGCATCTTACTAACAGACAAATGGAAACATATAGGTACAGCCCTGGCTGGTTGTCTCAGTGGTTAGAACATTGGCCCGCAGACCAAAGGGCAGCAGGTCCGATTTCCAGTCAAGGGCACGGACCTGCATTTTCCACACCAGTGAATGGGGCCCTGGCACTGTCAGTGACTCCCTGCGGTGATGTTTGCATGTGAGCCCCAGGTGTGCCCACAACCCCTATCCTGGTGTGTCTGTGTGTGTTTCTGTGTGTCTATATATGTATCTGTGTGTGCATGTCTGTGTGCATGTGTGTGCGTGCATGCGTGTGTGTGCAAGCATGTCCACGTGTGTGTGATTCTTGGGGTTTCCCCATCCCCAGGATCCATCCTGCACCCACTTCAGGCCCTCACCTGGGATGGAGAGGTGGTGCAGGGGCACATCCCAGAGCTGGGGGCACAGTGCGGACATCCAGTCCGAGTTTTCATTTGTGTTCCTGGGGCAAGACAGGCTTGGGAAGCTGCCTGACGCGCTCACCTGCCCGCCCATCAGACGTGAGCCCAGCAACCTGAGGAAGGGCATGAGGTCGTGCACAGTTAACTCTGTGCACAGATGCCGCAAGGGGCAGTGGTTTTCAGGAAAAAAACAAAACAAAAAACAAACCACACTTCTTTCCAGGGGTAGTTTTCAAGGCTGAGAGTGTAGGGGAAAATGAGGAAGAGTGTGGGCGGGAGGGAAGGAGAGAGGGGGGCAGAGAGGTTGAGGAACAAACGGGGAGGCAGACATACAAAGAGACAGACAGATGGAAGAAAGATACAGAAACGGAAATAGAGACACACAGTGATGCACAGAGGCAGAGAGGAGAGAGAGGGAGAGAGAGACAGACAGACACACACAGGCAGAGAGGCAAGGACAGAAAGAGCCACCCAGGAGCCCCCAAGTTTCTTTCCCAGGTGGCTGGGTCACATGTCCACCCTCCAGGGGACCCCTCACCCTGGGGTCACATCAACCCCCCCCCACATGGGAAGGGGCTCAGAGGTGAGCCTGGGTGTCTGAGTCGTGGGGTCTTCAATCCTGGGGGTGGCGTAGCTGTGGGACCTCAGGTCAGCACTGCGGCCTCTGCAGAGCTGAGGCCCCGTGTTGGGTGCTGGGCTGAGGCAGGAGAACTTTCTGTGCAAGGCTGCCAGACTGACCTGAGTCCCCAAGAAGTGGTGTCTGCAGGGCACGACGGATGGAGACCCCGCGGTCCTTAGGGTTCACCTGCAGCCTGTGAGCGTGTGGGCCTGCGGGTCCAAGGTAATGTCGTGTCAGGATGCGCAGAAGAGGTCAGCTGTGACTGCCCAGGCCGCACCGGTAAGGAGGGGCCCTTTGGGGTCAGCATCCGCGAGGGGCTGGGGGGGGGGGCTGGATTCCACAGGACGCTGCCGGCGAGGGAGGGTGCCCAGGCCCCTGAGCCGCCCTGGCCGAGGGACACTGTGATCTGGCCGTGACTGGACCCACAGACTCTCAGGAAATAGCTCTCAGGTGAATGAAGGGAGGATGAGCCCGCAGCTGCCGGAACCTGGCATTCCTGCCCCCTTCCTCACCCGGCTCCCCGGACACTCCCGCCCCGAGGGGCCCGCCAGGCAGCGCGGGGATGGGGACCCGGGCCGTCCCGCCCCTCCCCTCCCGGCGCTGAGGTCCCCGAGGCCAGCAGGGCTGGTCCCAGCCTGCGGTCCGGCCCGGGAGCCCTGAGCCCTCCCGGGGGCCGGTCCCTCTTCTCCCTGTGTGTCTGGCCCGAGCGGGGCCGAGCCGAAGGGCAGGAGGCGGGGACCTCGCGGCCCCGCGGTGCCTGCCCGCCCCGGGCCGTCCCGCAGACCGGGCACTCACCTCCTCGCTCCGTCCTTCCAGGACAGTTCCCGCTCGCCCCCGGTCCTCCGGCTCCAGACCCCGCTCTCCCCAAGCACGCCCCCCGCTCCCATTGGACGCCGGACGCCCAGTCGGGGGAGGGGGCGGGGCGGGAGGCGGGGTCACCTCCCTGAGGCGCCCTTCTGGGCGGAGCCGAGTCCCCAGCGGGACCGCCGTGCGGACGGGGCCTGGGGCAGGGGTCCCGGCCGCGGTCTGTGCCGACCAGACCCTCGCTGGGGGTCAGCAGGACAAGACCATCCTGAGGCCCGGCCGTGAGCACACAGCAGGGGGGGGTGCTGAGCGCCACCCAGGGCCAGTGGTCCGAGGTCAGGGCCTGACACCCCGACTCCGTGACCGCTGTGCACCCTCGGGCCACTCGGGGCCAGGCCAGAGCAAACACGACCCCCCCCCCTCGGTTGCATCAGCCGCGCCCGCAGTTCCGAAAGTGCTTCAGCAAGTGGCCGCATCCCGTCCTCAAGTGTCCGGCCCTCTGAGCCCGGAGTGGCCCTTGTCCTGGACCCAACTAGGGTGGGGAGTGGATTTCCAGGGCGTGTCCTGCTGTAGACTTGCTCAACCCTGTCCCCTGTCACTGACCTCAGGTGACCAGGCGCCCAGCAGGGTGAGTCCCTCGCCCTCCCCGTCTCCTCGTCTGTGGCTCCGGCTTGTCCAGTCAGCAGGGCACCTTGGCCCACGCTTCCCCGTGCTGCCGAGAGTGGACAGGACCCAGGGGTGGACAGTGCTGGGGGGACCTTCCAGCAGCGCAGAGGGCTGGGGCATGTGGGGTCCTCTCCCCTCTGTTCCAGGCACTCCTACTCTGAGCTGTGGCTGCAGGTGGCCTTGGGGTCAGCTGTCGTCTTATGGGGACAGAACTCAGCTGCCCACCCACATGCCACCTGCTTCCTTTCCCTCTGTCCATCCCGCTCAGGCCCCATCTGTCCTTCCTCCTTCCCTCCCCCTCCCTTCCCCACCCCCCTCCTCCTCCTCTCTGCCTCTCTGCTCCCCCTCCCTCCCTCCCTCCAGACCCTCCACCTGCGGACCCAGGAGAAGACTGTGAACTGGGAACACAGCCCCCTCCCCTGACAGCCCTGGGCGCCCCCTGCCCCTAGAAGAGACCCTCCCTCCTACCTCTCTGGGCAGCGCTCCCCTTCCCACAGGTAAGGCTGGTCCTGCCCCACCTCCCTGCCTGTGGTGGAAGAGTAGCCCCCTAAGCTGCGGAGAAATCTGCATACATTTCTAAGCCATGCATTTCTTTTTCTTTTTCTTTTTTCCCCTTTTACCGATTTTAGAGAGAAAGGAAGTGAGAGAGAGGGAAACATGGATGAGAGAGAACAGGGACTGGCCGCCTCCTGCACGCCCCCCACTGGGCATCAGCCCACACCCTGGGCGTGTGCCCTGACCGGGAATCCAGCCCCTCTTGGTGCAGGGTCGACGCTCAACCACGGAGCCTCACTGGCCGGGCTTGAAGTCATGCATTTCATTGAAGTAGTTTCTGTTAAAACAGAAATGATTTTTTGATGAGTCTGCTAAACTAGTCTCAGGATAATGTTTGACTTTCCAAGCTTGCCACCCCCCTTGACAAGCGCTGTGTGTCCAGGCCGCGGGCAGGGGTGACAACCCCTCCCCACATCTCACAGCTGGGAATTCCCTGGCAGAAGAGAGAAGTGTAGGGACGTTTGTCTCCTTTTCTTCATCCCGAGTTCCCAACAGCCTGCAGTAGGTGTAACGTACAGAGAATGCGCATTTCGGAATGTTTGTGCAGGTCATTCAGGCTCTGGAATGTCTCCCAGGCTCTGGAATGTCTCCCAATCGCATCCCAGTGTCCTTACTTACCTGGCTGCATTTGTCAATACTTTCCCCAAGGTCATATGCGCTTACTGTGCCCGAGTCACTAACTAAGGCACTGAGCGTCAGAGACCTTTGAGGATGAGTACTTCATTCCACCTGAACTGTGTCTTCAGGGCCTGTGGTTTGCAAACCGACTGTGTAGTAAACTGTAAGTAATAGTCGTTATTATTAGTATGTGTAAGGTTGTTGCTTACCGTGGCTTAGAAATAGAGCCAAGAGCTGCAATCTCTTAAGGATATTTGTATTTTATCCTTTCGTACTTTACCATGAATTTTTTTTATTTTACCATGAATTTTATTTGAAAGACTCCACGTTGGGATAAAAAGTAAACTGTGAAGTAAGATACAAAGAAGACCCGAGAACATGTGAGAAGCACAGTGAGACTGGAAGATGGGAAGGGGGGGGGGGCGGTTCACAGCGGAGCCTGAGGCTCTCACGTGTCCAAGGCGGTGTCACAGGTTCCCGAGAAAATGTCCCACCCAGATCCTGTGAACACAGCAGTGAATGGCTCTGAAACCACCTGCACTCCTTGAGCCAAAGAAGCAGAGACAAGGTTGAGTCGCATGTGAGTGTTTGTTCCAATATTACTGTCAGTGTGGGGAGCAGGGGTCTCCCTGGAAAATCCACTCTCCCCTCCCGTGACAGCCGGTTCGAAGGGCAGAGAATGACCAGCAAGCAGAGGAGGGCTGGTCGCCAGCAAGTCACGGTCCAGCTTCTTGGTTCCCACAGATCATCAGGTGGTTACTCTCCCCGTGAGGTCAGGTGGCCCCCTGGTCCTCAGGCTGGGAGAGTGGACAGCGTTCCTGAGGTCAGCCCCCAGGCTTCCTTCAATCCGGACCAAGCGATGAACGTAGCAAAGGATGACGAGCATTTCTCACCCTGTGGCTAGTGCGCCCCTGTGACCAGCTGTCTTTCTGTTATTCTCTCCTCTCCGCTCAGTTTCTGTAACCCAGGTCTGGACTTAAACGTTTATCTGAAGCAAAGGAAGCTCCTGTGAGCTCGCCCCTGCCTACGCCCTGTGAGGAAACACCAAAGACCACAGCGCAGGGTGCGGAGGAGCCGGAGGAGGGTGTCCTTGGGGAAAGGGGGGGACATCTGCAGTACTTCCAACAATAAAGATAATTTTAAAATAAATTAATAAAATAATGGAAAAAATGCAAGGACCACGGCGAACTGTTAGGCCCTACACCCGGTCCCGCACCTGCCCGCAGGTGCGCTGAGGGTTGGACCGTCACAGCTGCAGGGCGTTGCTGGTGCACGCAGCACGGACTCAGAGGGCAGGTTTCCTCTTTACCTTAACGTTTAAGCCTTTGTAGCCTCGGATCCTCGGTTCAACTGGGGAGATTTCTCTTTACTTTCGTATTAAGGCCTCTTACAGATGTTCACAGGTTTGTGTCTGTACTAACCAGAAACACAAATATTCCAAAAATAGAGGGGAAAATTTGAGAGTTCTCTCGGAAACTTCATCCATGTCACTGCAGGATGCGTTTCATTCATCAGACGCGACGTCACTTCTCTGTAAAATGCTCTGGTTTATGTCAGTTTTTCTCTCCAACTGTGAATCTAGTTTCTCTAAGAAGAACGCACAGCGTGCGTGTCCAGGTGGAGTGACACTCATTTTATGTATTTATCTGATGCAAGTTCTAGCCTGAAGTCCTGTTTTCTTCTCGTCATATAGCAAACGTCTTGTTGAACAGCTGTGACCACTCAGGTGGTCCTGTGAAATGTCATCTGAAAGCTTCACACTTGAACACAGTCCCAAGCAGAGGATGACAGTCTCCTTGAGTCTGAGAGGCAGAAGGGGGGTTCAGTAATGGTGAGAAGCTGGCGTTTGTGGGGTGAGCACCAGAGAGGAGCCTCCAAGCAGAAAAAGAGTCTGGAGAATGTCACTAAGGTTCTTCTTGACTCGGGTTCAGCGCCAAGCTACACCCCCGTCGGAGGAGATCCCGAGAGGCTGGAAGGGACAGTGAAGCTGTAAACGGACCACCCAGGGAAGCTGTGAGGGCTTGGAAGTAGGTGACCGTCGACCATTCAGGACGGAGAGACCTCATGAATGTCTGGGTCACTCCGGACAGAAACCAGGAAGGATGCACCTGAGCAGGGACAAAGTGCTTCTCTGGTCATGGCTGCTCTGGGCCGACCCTAGATTCACGTCAGAGACAGGTTAGCCTGACACAGACCAAGGTCTGGAATTTAATACGTTGTTGTCAAACAACAGAAATGATCAGCATCTGGATTCCTCACAATGAACGGCCGTGGTGTCCAGGATCCAAACAAAGTACAAGACATGGAGAGAAATAATCTGTGACTGATAATCAACAGGAAAACATCAGTCAGTAGAAACCAACACAGACATGGCAGGGCGGATGCTAAACCACCCAGACTGTAAAAGTATATTCAAGTATTTGTAACAAATATAAAAATAAACCAGAATAAAGTATGTGGAAGAATACATGCAGTGGGAAATACACACATGGATGTCATGTGGGTGAAAATTATA